AAAAAAAAAAAAAAAAAAAAAAAAAAACTAACCCAATCTATGTGAATTTTGTATTTGACATTGAAGGTGGAAGAGTCAACTTTTGTGGCGTGTGTTTTTTACGTCTGCTGTGGTGGCTGTTGTGGTGCGTGCAGCGATGGGATGGTGTAAGAGTGGGAAGTGTGGCCATTTTGGTTCTGGTGGTTTCATAATATGGGACATATCAGAGTAAGGTTTATAATCTATTCATGCCTTCTATGCCTATGTCTCCTTTGAATTTTTAGCTGCTAATGGTTATACTTTTAGTGGCCAAGAGGACTACTCTTTTGGGGAGTTGTTGCCTATGACTGTGATTGGGATTATTGGAGGCTTATTAGGTTGGTAATTTTAGTCGCACCTTTTTAGTTGGCTTAGCTAAATTTCCAATTCCAAGGATTAGGTTCTATGTTCATCCTTTTGGTTATTCGTTTAGGAGCACTATTCAACCAGCTTACTCTTTACATGACGAATTGGCGACGGAACCATTTGCACAAAAAGGGGAACCGAGTCAAGGTACGCAAAAGTTTAATGATGATTTATGTCTATTATTTCTTCATACCCAATTACTTCAATCTTTCTCCCTTGAAAAATTTCAGATCATTGAAGCTTGTCTCATCTCGGTATTAACATCAATTATCTCGTTCGGACTACCACTTCTAAGGCAATGTACTCCATGCCCCAAACCTGATCCTGATTTGGGTAATGAATGCCCAAGGCCTCCGGGGACGTATGGGAATTATGTCAATGTAAGAATCAGTACTGCTCGTCTTTTGTTGTTATTTTGCCATTATTGTAATTTTCAATACCAATCCCATATCATTTAGCTGGAGCTAGGCACACTTGGAGTTGTTTGACATAAAATCTGCCTGTTTATTACCCTTTTTTTTCAGTTTTATTGTAGCAAGGAAAATGAATACAATGACCTTGCAACCATCTTCTTTAACACCCAGGTTTTTCTATTTTCTTTGTGCAAATTTATGCTGATCTTTTCCATTTCTCTATAATATTCTTTTTTACCTTCTTGGTGTCGCTATAAATTTATTTTTCCAGGATGATGCCATAAGGAATTTGTTCAGTGCAAAAACGATGCATGAATTCAGTGCGCGGAGTTTATTGACCTTTCTGGTAACTTTTCTCACTTAGTTTAGAGCATAACTTTCTTTGTTCATATGTTCTTATTATTGGCCTGTTTCATATTTTCATTATCTTATTGAAAGTTCCGTCATTTTAGAATCAATAAAGAATAGAATCACTAAGTTGTGCTATGTTATTAGAAACTTAATTATGTGATTGTTTTACAATGTTCCGTCCATTCTTCTAATTTTTCAGGTTATGTTTTATACTTTAGCTGTCGTGACGTTTGGTACTGCGGTTCCTGCTGGTCAATTTGTTCCTGGTATAATGATTGGATCTACGTATGGACGTTTGGTTGGAAAGTTCGTGGTTAGTTTCTACAAAAAGCCGAACATTGAAGAGGGAACGTGAGTCTTTGCTTATTCTATGAATATTCTAGTTTAATAATTTAGATGTTATTGAGAGAATGTTGGCAAACATGCAAGATCAGATAAAACTATGGGGGTCATTTTCTTGTTAATAAAATTCATGGGAAATACAAGATTTTGGTGAGGCAGTTTTGACCAAGTTAATAGGGTCAGGATATACAATCTTTCTCTAGCTAAATCCATTCTAGAAATAAACTGAATTCCAGTGAGAGCACAAAAGGGTAGACGAACTTTTTCGAGGGCTCATGGGGCTTACAGAAAAATACTTGATTGACAAAAATCGTAGACGAGCTTTGAAAATAAAACTTATGGTTTCGGGTAACACAAATCAAAAGTTAATCATTGGCAAATGAAATCATGAAAGATCCAATCTTACTTTATGGTATCTTCATGTGATAACAATCTTTCACGTTCTTCCAAATCTTACTGGTTTTCTAGATATGCTTTGTTGGGTGCTGCATCGTTTCTAGGAGGCTCTATGCGAATGACAGTGTCTTTGTGTGTCATCATGGTTGAAATTTCAAACAATTTGAAGTTTTTACCTCTCATAATGCTTGTCCTTCTGATGTCCAAGGTAAGTCAACGTATATGTATATATATTCATGGATGCATGTGAAAGTTTCTTATTTATATAAACACTTCAGGCTGTTGGTGATGCCTTTAATGAAGGCCTCTACGAAGAGCAAGCCCAGTTGAAGGGTATTCCGTTACTGGAATCGAGACCGAAGTACCAGATGCGGAAAATAACAGCAAAGGAGGCCTGTGGAAAAAGGGTAATCCTTGCGTATTCCTTAAACTCCTTTTGTATTGAGTACAGAATATTATCCAGGCAATGATGTTTCATTGGAGCCCATGCAAAAGAAATATACTATACGAAAAGGAAAAATAAAGTTTTGTGTCGAGTATATGCATGGAGGACGATTTTTGTGGTTTAAAATTGTGAGATCCCACGTGAGTTGGAGAGGGGAACAAAGCATTCCTTATAAGAGTGTGGAAATCTCTCCTTAGCAGACGTGTTTTAAAACCATGAGGCTGACGGCGATGCGTAATGGGCCAAAGCAGACAATATCTACTAGCGGTGGGTTTGAGCTGTTACAAATGGTATTAGAGCCAGACACCAAATGGTATACTAGTGAGGACGCTAAGCCCCAAGGGGAGTGGATTGTGAGATCCCACATCAGTTGGAGAGGGGAACGAAGCATTCCTTATAAGGGTTTGGAAACTCTCCCTAGCAGACGCATTTTAAAACCGTGAGGCACGGCGATACGTAATGAGCCAAAGCGGACAATATCTGTTGGAGGCTATAATTGAAATGAGTGGCTTACCTATAATTTATTTTTCTTATAATGTGTATAGTATTAGATTCTTCCTTACCAATACACTGTTTTCTCTATTTGTAGGTTGTCTCGTTCCCCCGCGTTGTTAAGGTTGCTGATATTGTTAGTATTTTACGGAGCAACAGACATAATGGCTTTCCTGTGAGCATACCTAAATTCTTCTTTTTCTTCTGGTCTATTAACCGATTCTTAAGGCGGTGCTTCTTTGCCCCTTAGGTGATTGATTACTCTCGAAACGGAGAAACACGTGTCATTGGACTAATGCTTAGAAGGTATAGGCTGAATTGATAACCAACCCAATCTTTTTAATGATTGAAGCATCCCAAAAAGCCTTACTGTATGATTGTTGATGCAGTTACTTGTTAGGACTACTGCAGTCCAAAGTAGATTTTCAGCACAGTCCTTTGCCTTCTGATCCAAGAGGATCCATGCCAACCAGGTAAATGGATACTCGATCCGAGTCCCGAGACTATAATGGACGGGTTATCCTCACTTTTCCATCGAGTTCTGACTCGTTCTTTTGGAATTTCAGGCATAATTTCAGTGAGTTTGTGAAACCTGCTTCCAGTAAAGGAATTTCTATTGATGATATCAATCTTAGTTCAGAGGACTTGGAAATGTACATTGATCTACTCCCCTTTTTGAATCCATCTCCATATATTGTCCCAGAGGATATGTCTTTGACAAAGGTATTTGCTTGATTACTTTGTTTGGTTTTATGTTATTCATCATTTTTTAGGGAATCGTCATTTCCGTAATCGTCATATCTTGCATTGTCGTAGGTATATAATCTTTTCCGGCAATTGGGTCTGAGACACGCGTTTGTTGTTCCCCGTCCAGCAAATGTGGTCGGTTTGATCACTCGAAAGGATCTGTTGATAGAGGTAGAATACTCACCTTACCACGTTTAATATTTCAAAAACACGTCTCAACATTAATAAGATACAAACACCTCGATGCAGGATAGTGAAGATTCGGATGCTATGGAGCTACAATCGACTAGTGTAAGGTCTCTGACTCTCTATGATGCTTTACTTATCTCATAAAACGATGCATCTATTCGGGCTTCCGAGATTGTAATGCAATGCTAATGCTTCCGTTTAGATTGATTCTTACGATTTTAGTCACTTTAGACGCTGTCGAAACAAGTTCATCATCTAATGTGCCGAAACTGTATAATCTCTTCAAACTCAACTTATTAATCTTGTATATCGTTACGATGGCATGGCAGAGCTCGGCGTCGAGATAGAAGAATACATACAGCGAATGGGGATGTCGAGAGCCCACTTCTTAACGGACTTTTGGTCAATAACACAGACGGCTGATGAACATCATGCAGCAGCTGCCAAGATTAATATGGTCAGATTACTACTAGTTTATGATGCTTTTCTTCATATTCCCATTAGGAAATATATTCTTTATTGTTTGCTGGCTGGGATTCCAATCCCAAACCAGGTAGATATCTAAAGAACAGAGCAGAACAGAGCATTGTATTATATCATATATTGTAATGATAAGAGTTGGCTTAGTTTATTTTGTTTATGAAAGCTTCAAACTTACGAAAACGTATGTATAGACGACGTAAAAAGAGACCTCGATGACGAACTATCACTACAAAATGGCTGAAATTTGTTGTACAAAAAAGACTGCAACTTAATGAAAGGGAAGGGCTTGGCTTGTGCCCGTTTAAGCGAACGCTAGAACGGACAAGGCCGAAAGCAATAGCCAAAAGCCAGTGCTGAGGCGCGGGGCAGTGGCTTTTGGTGCTTGTGCGGTGGGTGTATGTGCGAGGGGGACGGCAGGGGAGGCCAAGGCAGAGGGCTCTGGGGCGACGGTGGTGGAAGCAAGGCGTTGGACGTTAATGTCGACCTTCTGGCCGGCCTGGCAGTGGCCGGGAACGCCGCAGAGGAAAAAGTGATGGCCTCTGGTTTGAATGGTGATGGTGTCGTTGCCGGAAGAGTGTGTCTCTATGGGGTCTGAGACATTGCATGATTTGTACATCCCATGCGTCACTCTCATTACGTTGTGGAACTTGGCGTTGTACTCAAATACTGAAAAAACAAACTCATCATTTCGATCATTTCTTAAAAACCCGTAAATTATTCGATCGGACTGCTATAATGAACCCGAACTTGGCGTTGTACTCAAATACTGAAAAATCAAACTCATCCCCGTAAATTATTCAATCGGACCGTTATAATGAACTCGAATTCAAAAATCAAATTTACTTTAAAATTTTCAAATTCATGTAAAATAAGCTTTTAAATCTTAAAATTTTTCTACTCGATTTCAAACTTTAAAAATTGTTTGATAATGATCTATCAAAATTCGACATTATTTTATACAAAATTAAAAATTCAATATCTTATTATATACAAAGATTAATTTTATGTCTAATAATTCGTTAATTATTTTTTAAATAATATTCTTTTACCTTTGAAGTTTAGAAGCCACCAAATTAGTAATTTAACAAAGTCATAGGCAAAAATAAAATAAAACAAAATATATTTTTGAGTTAATTTTGAATTTTAAAGGAATTAAAGAAAAAAAAAGGAAATTAAGAAGGGTTTATGGGAATTATATTATTTTAAATTTGTGAAGTGGTGTAAATCATAATGATGGCGTGAGTGAGTGGGTGAAAAAGCTTGTACATAATGGGCCTTGTAGGGCCCATAATGTGTGGCCCACTATCACATGCTTCCAGCCCACCTAATTTCTTTTTTTATTATTTTTTGTTTATTTTTGGAAGTTTCTTTTATACCCTACTTCCAATCTCAAAGCCTACGACCATTCTTGTCGGAAATGTCTCTCATCACAAAAACCTTTAAAAATAATAATAATAATAATAATACAAATTACTAAAAAAATAATTCCATTTAAAAAAAAAATCAATATTTTTTCATAATTACAACATTATCCTTGCACTTTTACAAAATTTTAAAACGAGAATATTTTTAAAAGAAAAAAAAAGTAAGAATTATTTTTATAATTAAACCCATTTTTTCTTAATTTAAAAAATAATCCTTATTTTTTTAAAAATAAAATTTTGGCAACAAAAAGGCATGAAACGAGAAAATCACGAAATGGGTTTTTATTTTATGATCCAAAAAATTCAATTTCCAAAATAACAATAATAATTAAGAAAGGAATTTTAAAAAAAAATTGACAAATGTTCATAAGAAACTTACCGATGACATCACCGGGCTGGAAAGTCTTGGTAGCAGCCCACTGCTTGTAGTCGACGCCGCCGATGGTGGTCCAGCCGGCGGCGTCTCCAACCTTATAAACCGCCGCCACCGCCGGCTCTAGCACCATGGTCATGACCACCACGAACACCGCCGCCGTCACCGCAACCGCTCTCTCCGCCGCAAAACCCATTTTCCGGCGGTTACCCTCTCAACTTCCACTTGGCTGAAATGGGTTTTTGAATTTAAGATGGAAATTTAAAAAAGGGTATGGCTTTACCATCTCAATTTATATAATCTCTCTTGAATTTTTATTTTTATTTTTATTTTTTTAAAAATATTTTTCTATTTTGAGGTGGACCCATTTTGGTCATTGGATCTTAGAATCTAAGAAACAACGACTATTTAAATATTTCCTTTTTTTTTTCTTTTGCATTTTATTTTAATTCTAATTTTAAATTAATAAAAATATCCATCAATTTTTCACTTCCTCTAAAATATATATATATATATATTCCATTTTAAAATTTTTAATAATACTCTAAACTTAAAGAAAAATTAAAAAAATACTATGATCTTTTATTTGTAATTTTATGGATATTTTTTAAAATATGGTAATGATATTAAAAAAAATGAAAAACATTAATGAAATTTTTTAAATTTTAGGCATATTTTTAAATAAAATATTGAAGACTATTATTAAAATTTTGAAGGTTTAAAAATATTTTTAATAAAATATATAAAATTGAGAGGGGACCAAAATTAATGAAGCTTTATTAAATTTTAAACCATATTGTTTAATTAGGTAATGAGAATTTATTTGGCGCTCTTGGATCTTTCATAACAAATTAAAAAGGAAATATATATATATATATATTTATTTATTTATTATAAACTTTTCTTTTGATCATTAATGGTTGGAGTTTGAAGAACTTCAAAGGAAAGAATTGAATGTTTAATCCTTGCTGGTAAGTTGTTAGCCCGTCGGGTATGGTACCATCGACTACAAAGTCGTCTCTACATAACTTTTCGATGGGTAAGAAATTTCGTGTTGTTTTTCTTTCACTATTTGGTATTTCGGGTGTTTTTTTTTTTTTTTTTGTAGTTCAAATAATACGGTTTGGTCAATATTTCGTATCACCATCCCGGGAGGTATAAATAAAAGTAGTTTTTGTTCGTTTGATACTCGGTCGATGATATAAAGTTTGTAATACTTTTTTTCACGGGAGATGTTAATTTGGTAAAGAACATTTATTATTTATTGGGTTAGTTGTGAGAGATGATGATAAATAAGGTAGATATTACATCATAACGTATATAGTGATTAGAAGCAAGGAAGATTATAAATTTATAATTAAAGACGACATTTTCGTAATAATGAATTTTGAGTGAATGTAAAAACACGTCGGTATAAAGCAACGAGATCATAGTGGAGTTAGGTTATGATTATACAAGAGTTGGGTTGATTTCAAATGTTAACGGGTTCTCCTAACATTAAATTGAATTGAATCGAATTTCAAAATATATAATTTTCCGTACGCATATTACTCGTAGATGTTATAGCCGCTATTACTTTGTTGGAACTCTTTAAAATAATTTTTAGATATTTAGAAAGTAATTTTTTAATATATATTGAAATTAAATTGTAAATTTTAATTATATATTTAAAAATAAATAGACATACTTTAAAACCTAACATTTTGCTTTTATTAAAAACCAAATTTTAAATAAATGAACTGAACTACTCCAACCCAACCTAAAAAAATTATGGTTTGATTCAATATTCACGAATGGTTGAGAAGAGGAAAGGTTCCTTTCTTTTAAGGTGCTCCCGTGAACAGATCGAGTGAAGACGAGGTGAGGCCTGTAACTTAGAGATTTAGAGCACGTGGCTACGAAACACGATGTCGAGGGTGCGAATCCCTCCTCGCCCACAATTGACCAAAAAGGGAAGGATTTTTCCCTCCAGGGGTAAGAAAATCATGATTGGGATAGCGGACCCAAAGTTATGGAACTTGGGTGTGGGTCTTTTGTCGAAATGAACTGGCCTTATCTTTTTATTTTTTTTCTTTTTCGTTAATAAGTATTTTTTTTTTATGAGATCCCAAATTAATCAGAGAGGAGAAAGAATGTCAACGATGATGCTGAGCCACGAAAGGGGTAGACATCAAGCGGTGTGCCAACGAGGACGTTGGATCCCGAAGGGGGTGGATGGTGAGAACTCGCATCGATTGGAGAGGACCAGTGAGAACGTTGAGCCCTGAAGAGGGTGGACATCGGGCGGTGTGCCAGCGAGGAAGCTGGGCTCTAAAAGGAAGTGGATTGTGCGATCCCACGTTGATTAGAAAGGGCAACGAATACCAGCAAGGACGCTAAGCCCCTAAGGGAGTGGATTGTGAGATCCCACATCGGTTTTAAGGACGTGGAAACCTCTTCCTATGTTTTAAAACCTTTAGGACAATTAGATTAGGTATAAAAAATATCTAAATCGAGCTGAACACACCTATAATTTTATATTAATAAAAAAAAGATTTTATAAATTTATTTTTAACATTAAATTCTAAAGAAATTACAAAAGTTAATTAAACTCTATTTTCTGTTTCCCATAACAATAATATAAATAAAAGGGAAACAAAAATAATTAAAAATAACAACAATATTCATACCCTTTCCCCCGCCCAAACTAACTAATAAAAAACCAAAATCCCAATTTACAACTGATACGTAACAGAATCGAACCCATTCCCATTACTCTGCCCATTCTTCACCGCCGCGCCCCGCCCATTAACCCCAACAGCTTTCACAGTCTCCTCCGCATAACGACGGCGATCCTCACCGTCGTCGTCCATAAACCTCTTCCACAGCCAGTGCTGCTTCCACACCCTATCCGTCATCTCTTCGATCGGAACATTCTTGGTCTCCGGCAGCAGAAACAGAACGAACACGGACATGACGAGAACCCAGCCGGAGAAGAACAGGAAGATCCCGAACTTGAAGTGGCAGAGCATGGAGAGAAAGGCTTGAGCGATGGCGAAGGTGAACAGGAGATTGACGCACACGGTGATGCTCTGCCCCGCCGATCGTGTCTCCAAAGGGAACGTTTCGCTCGGAATTAGCCATCCCAGAGGCCCCCACGACCAGGCGAAGGACGCGACGAATGTGCAGACCATTACCACCACGACGATGGCCAGCGCGTTGTGGAGATTGTTCGTATCGTCCTTCACTTTGATTCCTAAAATCACTGCGATCACCACCTGTTCATCCAATCGATTCATTTAGTTCTTAATTTCTGTTTAAAATGTTTGATTAAATTCATAATCCGATCTAATCCATTGATTTTATTTCTTGATTATATTCATAATCCGATCTAATCTCCATACCTGAGAAATAAACATCTGAACTCCGGCTTCAAGCAAGAGAATCCGGCGGCCAAGTTTATCAACAGAGTAAATCGAGACGACGGTGGAAGCAACGTTAACAGCTCCGGTGATGACGGCGGAGTACAGAGCGGCGTCGTTTTTAAACCCCAAAGTGCTGAACAAAACCGGCGCGTAGAACATAATCGCGTTGATTCCGGTGAGTTGCTGGAAGATTTGTAGTGCGACGGCGATGATGATCTGCGGCCGATTCCGCCGCCTGAGTAGGTTTCGAAACGGGTGTTTTACTTCCTTAGCGATCCGGCTCGCTTCGACCAGCTCCAAAAACTCCGGTTCGATATTTTCGGTTCCTCTAATTCTTTTCAGAGTGGCTTTTCCTTCTTCAAAACGACCCCGTTCTATCAAACTGTTCGGCGTTTCCACTACTAAAAGAGCTCCGATTGTAAGTAGACCGGCCGGGACTCCGGCCAGCCCTAAGGATAGCCTCCATCCCCATCCATCTTTAATTCTGCAATTAATTTTAATCACAATTAAATTTCCAGCTAAGCATGTTATAGATGACACGTGTGATTAAAATAAAAGGAAAAAAATGCTGACTTGGCAGTTCCGTAGTTGATGAGGCTGGCGAAAAGTATGCCAATGGTGACGTTGAGTTGGAATAATATATTAAGTCCGCCACGTATTCTGGTTGGTGCAATCTCCGATAGAAATAATGGCACTGCCTGTAATTAAAAATACAAAATTCATTTATTTTAAATTTTAATTTTCTTTTATTATATTTTATTTGAAAGAGTTGAATTTAATTAACCAATAGAAGGTTGCCAAATCTTGGGTTAATTATAAAATAATAAAAATTCAACACCTTCAAACAAGACAAAATAATAATATTATTAAATAAATAATAAAATTATAAATAATGCATGGGGAATCAAAAATGTGGCTCATTTGTTATCCATCATTTTCATCAATAAAATATCATAATATTCGACAAAAAAAAAATTAAAAATTAAAAATTTAAGAATCTATTAGATATTTTTGTATTTTGAAGAACGGATCTTATTTTTTAATTGTTTGGAGTCACATGATTTACGAACATGGAAGATCGGACCGGTTGTTTTCAAACGATTCCCGTCCTCGTATTAATTTTTAATGTGTATTATAGGTCAAACAAAATGGCTACCACTTTCATGACTAAAAATTAGGGTAAAAAATTCAGAGAATCTGACCTGATTGGCGAAACCGACACCACAACCAAGCAAGATTCTACCAATAATGAGCATTTCGATGTTTTGTGCAGCGGCGTTGAGGACGGTACCGATTATGAAAAACAAGCCGGCGATTAACATGGTTGGCCGTCGCCCGAGCCGTCGTGTGGTGTAAGAGGCGAAGAAGGTGGCGGTTAATCCAGCGAGATATAAGGACGATGTGAATAGTTGAAGGCCTTGGTTATCGTATTTGCAATAGTTACTATCGCCGCCCTCTTCGATTCTCCGGTGAACCACCGGGAAGAATTTTTTTAAAAACGATGGCATCGATGTTACTCCACCTGAGATTAAAAATAATAAAAATAAATAAATTTGGTCTCTAAACTTTCAAATTTATATCTACTCAATCAATTAATTTACTCACCGGAAACACCGACGTCGTAACCGAACATGAGGCCGCCAGTGGCGGCCATAACACAAGAAATAATGACGATGGGAGTGATTTTGGCCTCAAACTCGACGCCGCCAGCGGCGGTGGAGAATCCTCCGGCAGGCATGGTGGCGAAGAAAACAGCAAACGAGGTGCCAAATTTGAATGAAGAAGAGACTGAAACACTTGGTTGCATCTTGCCCTCCGTGGGGCTTCGGATTTTATAGGCGACGATGAGAGAGAAAGTAGAGAGAAGCAGGTCAGAGCCGTCGCTAGGATCCTTCCACGTGGTGATTTGGACGGCTGATGTTTATCTTAGACGGCTAGGCTAGTCAACACCAAATTATTTTACGGCTGGATAAACCGTGTGTTAATTCAAGATTCAACTTAAATTCCAAAATCTTTTCCAATAAAAAAAAATAAAAAATCCAATTTCCTTTTTGAATTTACATATTTATTAATTTAAATTTTGTGGATAAGATATTTATTATATATTTCTTATGCACGCAAATTATGATGTGGTTGAAGAGAAAAATAAATCACCGGTGTGAAAACTTTCCTTTAACTGACGTGTTTTAAAACCTTGAGGGGAAGCCCGAAAGAGAACAATATTTGCTAGTGGTGGATCTAGGCCATTACAAATGGTAGCAGAGCCAGACACTAAACGATGTGTCAGCCTTCTCGCTATTCCCCGAAGGATGATAGACACGAGGCGGTGTGTCAGTAAGGACGCTAGGCCCAAAGGGGGTGGATTTGGTGGTGGTTCAACATCAATTGGAGAAAAGAACGAGTGTCAGCGAGGACGTTGGGTCCCGAAGGGGGATGGATTGTGATGTCCTATATGGGTTGGGGAGGAGAATAAATCACCAGGTGTGGAAACCTTCCCCTCGCATACACGTTTTAAAGCCTTGAGGGGAAGCCCGAAAGGAAAAGCTTAAAGAGGATAATATATGCGATGGATCTAGACCGTTGCACAAATCTTATGTAAAAAATCTATCTAAATTAAATTAAATCATAATAATAATTTTAATGGATTTAAAAGTATAAAAACTAAATTATTAGGAATTGTTTTAATTTATTTTTGATAATTAATTAATTTTTCCAATGGGGTGAGTCCACGTAAGTCAAATTCAACACCTTCCTTTAAATTAAATTCTTATATTATTATTTTTTAAGTAAATAATTTAGTAATAACGTGGGAGAATTTTAAATTTCAGAAAAGAAAATACATAATGTGAAAGGGAATAGGAATAGGAAATATATGTCGTTTCATAGATTAAAGTCTTCAGGATGCACAGGAAACGACACGTCGGTGGAAGAAGCCAAATTTTCATCTTTATTCTTAATTTTATTTATTTATTTATTAATTTGGTCAAATGGAAAACAAAAAATAACGTAAAACTCTAATTATTTAATATATTTTGGGGAAATTATTTTAATTTTCAAAATTTTGATGAAAAAGACGTCGACGAGGATGAATGGAAGACTTTTCGTGTGGATTATATATAAATAAATAAAAATAGTAAATAAATGTGTGGATTTTAATTGAGAATTTTAAAATAATTTTTCTTTTTCTTTTTATAGGTTGTCCAATATTATTTATTATATTATATTTAAATTGTATTTTTCTTATTTTACTATTTATAGAATAATAACTCCTATTTATCCAATTAACTTCCGTATGGATAAGAACATTATATTTACAAAATATTATTGGGATGCTTTATATTTTCTTAATAAAAATTATATCGAAAATAGAAATTATCCGTTAAAAATATTGTTTAAAATTAATATTTTTAATAAATATATAAATTTTGTAGATAGAGATTGAAATAAGTGACAGAGACGGGAGATTGAGAAGACTTTTCTGCCTCTACTTTGACTCTTTTTTTAAGTCAAAATAATGGAACGGATATAAATAATAATAATAACAATAATTAGGTTTTGAAGCAATTAATTGGTTGGGATTAAGCAAAATCCGAAAGAAGAAAAAGAAATGTTGACTTTCAAATTTCATGTTCTCACAATACTCGGTTAGCCGCAGCCATCGGATTCGTTTTTTGATTATACACATTAGTCAAATGTTTTTATTATTAAAATTAAATAAATAAATAAAAGAAATTCCATGTAAAGCATAAAAAATAAAATAAAAAAATAAAAAACATGCCTAATTTTCCCTTTATTTGTGTTTTTTTTTTCTTTTCAGATAATAATAAATAAAAATACAAAAATAAGGCACCTGATGCACTTGCTTATTTTAATGAGATTGTTAAAAAAAAAATTTTAAAAATTTAATATTTTTAAATAATTTTTTTCGTAAAAAGAATTAGGTTAATAGATAACCGATAGCAATAACGACTCAAAATTATTATTTTTTTAGATTAAATTATAAAAAAAAAAATTTGTATTGTAATTTTTTAGTATTAAATTTTGGGTGGAATGGTTCGATAATTAAATGGAAATTAAAATTTTAAAATTTTATAAAATATTTTTTAAAATTATATTAGAAGATTTGTAGACTTTTTTATGGATAAGGTTACCACGAGAAGTCAAACCAAAAAGGAAAGTGGTTGGGGCGGCATGTCCCCAAGTACTTTGACTTTTGTTTCTTTGACTTCCATGGTTAAAATTGACGGTAAAAAAGGCATTGTTTTTGAAACCCTACTTGGATATTGGCGACTCTTTTACCATGTTGAATATAATTTTGACTTGAATAGCTTTCTTGTTGGCTCGGGGAACGACGTAGTTTGACTATATGAGCTCGAATTTAAAAAAACAAAAAAAAAATATTTTGGAGTTATGAATAAGAACATCGAGAAGTTTGACTATCGAGAAGTCAAACTTAATGAGTTATGGATAGTCAATCTGATTCGTTCTTATCCGAATCAAATTGACTATCGAGAAGTTTGTTGTGCTAATTAATTTAATGAATTAGATTAATTGTAGTTTAGATGTAAATGCGTAGATAAATATTTCGAGCATTGCATAATTGATTAATATTTAGAGCGGGAACTAGGTGGCAATGGGGAAGGAAAATATAATACTCGTTCTTGACCTCATTTAGTTAATGGGAAGAAGTTTTTTTGTTCTGTTCACTATCTCCGGTTTAAACAATAAAATCTCAAATATTCATAACTTCTGAGTTCGAGTCACCGTTTCTTATATGAATGGATAAGAAGTCGTAATGGATTTATAAAGACTACCAGCAACACTTACCAATACCGAACACGTGTCGAGGTTATTAAACTCAACACACTTTGTCTATTTATGCAAACATCACTGATGACTCCAAAACCAAAAGTTATCTTAAATTTTATGTTCAGATTTTCTACGTTTATCTTATCACTAAACTTAGCACATCATCATGACATCGACAAAATGTCATAATGTCGTCAAGGTTGATCTCACTCATAAATGGTATAGTAACAAAACTCGGTCATGTCAGCGATTTTGATTTCGATTAGGTCTATTTTGTAAAATTTCGTTCATGGTTTCAATCAATTTATCTTCCACCAAATATAGTCGTTCCTAGTTAAACTGTAACAAGTTATGGACAAAAAAGATATTACACGAGAGTTTATACTAATTTATCAAATCAGGACAGTGTTCAGTGTTTTGAAAGTGCCAAGTTCTATTGATATAGTGTGGGAAATTACAAACTTATCCTCGATAACGCTCGAGAATGATTATCGCTATTTTCCTAACACTTTGTTGTGTACCTCACTCTATTTTTCAACCATATTCTTTCTAACGTTCACGGTCGCTCGAGTATGATAATCCAAGATTTAAAACTCTGAATAATTTTAAGAAATGCAAAAATTAAAGTAATGAAATTGGGAGAAAAGAAACAAAAGTTTTTTTTTTATTAAAAAAATAGTTATAATATTTTTTTATAAAGACAAAAAAACACAAAAGCAGCCCTATGAAATTAAAAAATAATAATAATTAATAAATACAATCGACATGTCGGCATTGTTACGCACAGTGGAGGCCCATCAAAAGGATTGAATCTGGGCTGTGGCCCATATGTCTCTGACAATCCTGCCCTAAGCCCATTGGTATGACATGCAACCTGAAATTACTATTTTACCCTTTTCACACAAAGCAAGATTTTTAAAAGTAGCCCAAAATAAAAATGGGCTAGGTTATGAACTAATAATCGACTTCGTTCACCCTTCATGTCGATAAAAATTTTGAACTCAATGAACCCGAGAATCTAAAATATAATCTCGATTGCTTACCGATCAGACCTTAGGCTACTTGAAGTAACCCGAGAAGTTTTTCAAATTTTCTGTACAATAATTTACTGTCTATTTCTGTTAATCCCACAAGATAATTGATCGAGACGATGGTTTATAAGAATATATTCGACAATAGAGAATTGACTGTCAATAATTATTTTGTACCTAACGTTGAGTTATCTCTATTTTTTAAAATAAATATTCCTCCCAAGTCATCGATCTACATACTCGTCTTTTATAAGAAGGAAAATTATTGTGAAATCTCGTATCAATTGGAGAGCGGAACGAAACATTTATAATATAAATGGTATTATAGCCATAGAGCCATACAGTTAGTGATGTGCTAGCCAGAGCGCTGGGCCTCGAAGGAGGTGGATTGTGAGAAAAAAATGGGAAATTCCAGAGTGGAAAATCACATCCACTGAGGAAATGCCACGGGTCATAGAAGTAACGGAGTACCTTCATTAAAAAGTTCAGTAGATAACACCCTACGTTTTTCCTCCTTTACTCGCACGTGGTTCTTACCCACGTGGCACGTCACACGCATGAATGGTTATTTTATATAAAAAATAAATAAAATTCCTTTTTTGAATTTTTTATTTTATTTTGTTTTGAGCTTTGTCGCGTGCCACCACAAATTTTAAACATAATTTTCATAAAATAATTCACAATCATGCCAAAGTTAGGTTTTAAAAAATATTCATATTCCAAATATTCCAAACTATTATAATTTTTAGATTATTCATTCACTTTATTAATTAAATATATCAACTAAACAACTAACTCCCTAATTTTTCGGTACATAATATATATTTTAGGTCAGTTAAGCTATGTTAAGATTAATAATTATTTATTCCATTTTTTTTTATTAACGATAAAAACCAATTTTTGGGTAGATAATCAGTTCAGTTACGTTCAAATTAGTAATTATTTATTTAAATTTTGTCTATTTTTTTTCTTATTTGTAATTCCATTGATTGTATTTTTAATTATATTTTGCACTTCTATAAATTGCCAATTTCCTAATTCAAATAGCATTAAGGTATATATTGTTTTCCAAAAAGACCTTTAAATAAATATATTTCTTTAAATACCTTTTTAATTCTATTATTATATAATATATACTTAACTTATAATTGAGATATTTATATTTAATTATATAATTGTAATTTATGTTATAATTTTTTATGAATTGAATTTGTTTCGATTGCGTTTACAACAAACTCTTGACTGTATCTTTAGAATGAAGTATGTATTAAAGGAATGGACGGATAATAGTAGATATGGTATGTAACAGCCCAAACTTACTACTAATTAATATTGTACGCTTTGATCCATTACGTATTGCTCTCAGCTTCATAGTTTTAAAACGCGGCTGTTAGGGAAAGGTTTCTACACGCTTATAAGGTATGATTCGTTTCCCTCTTCAATCAATATGAGATCTCACAATCAACCCCCCTTCGGGACCCAACGTCCTTCCCGATGTCACAATCGCACTTTGATGGTAGCGGACTTGCGATTGTGCGACACTCACTTTTCAGCACACAAGTGAGTTAAGCCTATTCGTTCTCGCGTCGCCTATGGGCAAGCGACGTATGCTCGAGCCTTTGACCCCGGTTGAAGAAAAAAGTTTTAGAAAACGGGGGCAGAGAGTTTTGGAAGCAAGATTGGAGAAATTGAAATGGGTGTTATATGGGAATGTAAGCAAAAGGCAACAATAACAGCTTACTCCATAGAACTATCGAATAGGGAGAAGTTGACAACTAGTCATATCCCCACATTTTGAGGCATTTCATGTCTGGCAAGCATAGACATGATTTTTTTCAAAACGTCATACTTTCTAGAAATACAAAAGTAAAAAACTACAACATGGAAAGACATAAAGGGTTTGGCTTGTCATGGGCATGTGGTCATGGGTAATACACCTTGGACGAGCATGACCATGACACCCGACACACCGCTCCGTGACTAACTCTAATACCATTCGTAATGCCTCAAGCTCACTACTAACAAATATTGTCCACTTTGACTCGTTACGATTCGTCGTCAGACCCACTTGTTCATGTATGTTTCAATATTACATCTGAGTCTATTTAGCTAGCTAACGTTGAGAAATCTCTTCCACTTAGTTTTCCATTTCCCTGTTCGAATTCCACCCTATTTAGGGTAAGACCGAGATCAAAATCACACAGATTAAATAAACATCTTTGTTAATGTATGATCGATTATTTGTATAACTATTATTAAAAAAATAGTAGAAACGATGTTAATAGCTACTCTGGAATTTGTTATAGAACGTTATCGTCCAGATATATTTACCATACAAAGAACACGATTAAATATTTTTAGTAATAATGTATTTCTTTTAATTTTTCATTCTTAAAATGTTATCAAATTCCAACTTATGTTTTAAATACATAAATCTTAAAAAAAAAAAAATCAATTTATATATTTATTTTAGAATATATCACTAATATTTTGATACAACGTGTATATATATAATTCATGAATTCAAATACGATAAAAAGAAAATAATAATAATAATAAAAAGATTCCCTAATTTTATATTAGGAGGGTAATCAAAATTGGATGGAGCGTGTCATTAATTATAATAATGCAATAATAATATATTAAAAAAATTAAAAAAATCAAATATTAAGCTGTCAAGAGTATTTGTCTCTTTCTTTTTTAAAGGTTAAAACAGTAATTTAGTATGCATTCTAAATTTTTAAAAAATTATAATAATTTTTAATTTTGTGATCTTCTTAATTTCCAAAATTATTTAATAACCTAATTTTTAATTCTATATCCCTAATTTCTCTATTTACCTATTTGAAATTTTAAAAAAGAATTAAATTCAATTAAAAAAAATTTATGTTCTTGGAATTCAATTTTTTTTTTAATAGGAGTAAAAAAATATAAATGTAAAAACTCGAAAATTAAAATCTTTATTAAATTAGAATTAAAAAATTGATTAAATACAAAATTGATTATAAATCTTTTATAAATTTTAGATTAAAAGATTTTAAGAATTATATATTTTGTGTAGCGAAAAACATGGATACCAATGGAGGGTTAGGGCTTGGTGGTGACGGCTAGGGTTACTCACGGTTATAAAGGTTGCCACGTAGGTGAAGTTGCTATCAATTTTTCACATTTTATTTACACGTGGCATTTCTTTTTAGATTAAATACAAAATACAATTCTAATTATTTTATATATATATTTTAATTTAAAATATTACTCGCTTTGCTAACCGACAAATTGGGGAGGGAGAGAAAAAGATAATGGTGGGCCCAGCTTACCCTTTTCCGGTGGGGTCCATTATTTCCTACGTGGCTACTCTCGTCTTACACAAAAATATTAATATTTTAATCGAGTAATGCTAACTCCACCGCCTCTTGCCTATTGACGTTGCGGAAATGTACGGGGTTGTCGAGTGGGTTTGCGTGACAGGCGTGTGAGGTTATCGTGGCCGTGATATTGTATTAGATATTTCGTTATTTACCCGCATGTGAGCACGGGAAATGGATGAAGATCCGAGGTGGGTGCTTATGCAGCAAGCGGATAGGATGTGCCCAATCATGGAGTGACACGTGGCTAGAGTAATTTGTTTGTCTTTTCCTTTTTGCCTTTTTTTTTACTTTTTACTTTTTTTCTTAATTATAAATGTGGAAGTAAATACCGAAATTTGACCGCGAGTATATAAATGGTGGGACCGGATGACACGTCATCAAATGCGGCCACATAAGACGAACGTGACAATTGGCCTGGAGGGAGGGGAAAGGAAATTATTAATATAATAACAAGTGGGGCCCATGGGTTCTCGGAAATTCCGCGACCGTGACTCAAGAGTTTCCTCCCCTGTGTTTAGATGAAGCTTGACCGTGCGATGGGGAGGATCGGACGGTCAAAACACGGCGCACTGATCGACAGGGAGGGGCCTGTTTGGTTCGGTGCCAGCTCGGCGTGGATGAGTTTAGGGCTAATTTATTTTATTGTTTTTTTTTTTAAAAAAAGGGAGAAGGTGGCTACGTCAGACAGTGATCCAACGATGGAAACAGTGGTGATTAAGGAGATATAAGAGATCGGGACCGTTGATTTGTATGAAGAGGAAGTGCTTTTCACGTGGACCCCAGTAATGAATTTCTGGAAATATCGGCAATTTAATTTAATTTAATTAAAAAAAAAAATGAAAACGTGGAAACCGAATAATGAACTTGACCGGTTGGAACCATATTTGATGCGGCCACCTAGATTCCTTGCGATCGTCGTGTTGCTTTTACCAACGTCTTCGCTACCGGCTATAGCCAGTCACCACATCTTTTGGAAAAATTCAAGGAACCCCTAAAACTACGATCCTGGCCTACATTTTTCTCTCTCATCACTATATCTGAGTTCTGAGGGGGAAATAAATAAATATATTTTTTAATTAAAAAAAAAAGCAAATTAAAATTGTTTTTCCTTTTTGTAATTTTTTTAATAATTAATTGGATACTGAAAAAAAGGGGAATAAAATAGGAAAGCGGTAGCGAGTAAATATGGAAGCTTGGAAGGGAAGAAAAGACTGTGACACGTGGCTGTTTGATGATAAAGTAAGGGTCCCATCGCTGCCCTATTCTATTCAACGTCCAGGATTTTGCCATGGTGGCTTTTGCTCAAATGGTGACCGATGGATCTGTCGGGAACGGACGGTCTGGATACCTTGGCGTTTGGGTAGGTTAAATCGTAGCCGTCCAGTGGGGCTTGGTGTGGGTTTCGTTTTTAAGTGAAATAGAGCAAGAGCAAGAGAGAGGACAGAGTTTGAAGGGTGGGGGAGAGAAAAAGAGAGAGAAGAGATAGAGAGAGAGAGAGAGAAGGAAGAACTAACGAGCTCCAGATAAAATCGATTGAAGGATTAGATTAGCGAAAAGCTACGATTTTTCTTCTTCTGCAGTTCATCTGATTGATAGACTTCTTCACTGGAGGAATCTTGTTTCATTTGATGTTTCTTCTTTGATTTCTATACCGCTTTTCAGCCGGGATTCTGCAATTTCTGGTGTTATTTTCCGGCGATTTTTCAGTTTAGGGTTTTGTTTTTTTTTTTTTTTTTTTAGTTTTATTTTGGGAGAGAGATGAGATTAGTCCTCATGTATAGTTGATTTGGAGGAAGGGACGTAGAATCGCATCGTATCTGATATGGATAGGAACAGAGAAGCTAGAAGGACGACGACGAACATGGCGGCCTCCAACGGGCTCTCTAGACGTAGATACAGGAGTAGTAGTCTCCGTGACTCTCCAGGTCTCAATTTTCTCAGATCTAATTCATTTCGATGATGATGACTACTCATAATTACCATTCCTTTTCATTTTTTTTTTTGATTGTGATTTGTACTGGTTTTTCATGTTTCTCTGTAGAGGATGATGGACAGTTGGAGTTACAGGATACCGTAAGATTAAGAGATCGAGGTAGCGGGAAGAAAGATCGAGATCGAGATAGGGATAGAGACAGAGATCGAGACCGTGAAAGAGATCGGCTAAGTAGGAGCAAGAGGAGGAGAGCCGATAGATTGATTCATGGTGGTAGCAATAGGGAGGATGGAGGTGAAGATAGTTCTGAGGAGAGTGTAAATGACGAAGAGGATGAAGAAGACGACGATGGCGGTGGTGGTGGAGCGTCCGTCAGAATGCTTCCGCCAAATCCGGCGGCGATTTTGAGCCATCGGAAGACTTTTCCACCGGCGAAGAGTTTCAGAGCAGCACCGTCGTGGAAAGCAGCCGATGAAATGATTGGTGTGTCGGTGCCGAGAAAAGCCCGGTCAGGTACAAAAACTGACTGGAATGGATTTCCCTGAACTGATTCATAAAAAGAGGGATTCTAATGATTCTGACGTTTTCTTTCTGGTTTTGTGTTTGTTTTAGCCTCGACGAAGCGGTCTCATGAATGTTGGCCAGCAGCGACGGGCGGCGGAACGGCTATAGAGGCCATTAACCGGCAGGCTTCAACATCGCCAGTGAGGCCAAGTCTTACAGCAATGGCGGCGACGTTTCAGCCTCCAGCCTCGCCTTCTTCTTCCAATGCTCCGGTGAGGAAGAAGCTGGTCGGTCTTTGGTCTTACTACTACTCCGTTTATATCTTTTCTGATTCTTTTTTTGGGGGAAAAAGGGGTATCTGACGAGCCGTCTGCTGTTGTAGAAGCAAACCGGACCTAAACCCCGGCCGCTCAAATCCTCCTCAAAACTATCATCCACGGCTCAAGACGAGATCGAGATCGAGATTGCTGAAGTCTTGTACGGTATGATGAGACAGCCACAAGGTCCTCCGAAACAAGAACCCTCTACTACTGATTCCATGAAGTTCGATTCCAAATCAACCACTGATGCCAAATCCAGAGTTTCATCGCCGATTTCCAACTCTTCTGATTTGCCTACCCCTTCCATTTTGCCTCAAAATTCCAGTTCTTCTGTCACTCCGATATCAACCACAGGTGGGTATTTTTTTATGTTTATTTTTGGGGTGAGAGCTCTGAAATCACTCGTCAGATTATGCTCTTTTTCCTTTTTCAGGAACAACAGTTTTTCAAGTTTTTTTTTAAGAATCTGACACATTTTTTTTATGTATTCGATGTGAAATTTGCAGCACCCAAGAGGAAAAGACCGCGTCCAGTGAAGTACGACGACGAGAACACCGCCACCTTCAGCCTTCGGAATAGCCCCATTTCATCAAGAGCCAAAGCTGAGGCCGATCAGCCGCCTACCAACGCCGAGATCCCTTCATCTAATGTGGACAAAGTTTCAGGATCTGCAGGTGAAAATGTAGTTTCGAATGAATCTGCTAATTCTCTGGCTTTACCGGAGTCCCGTCCAGAATCTATGAAGGTGGACACAACCAGTGCCATGCCCAATTCCAAGCCATTGACTGAAGAATCAGACGGCAAAGATTTGGGTTCTAGCAAGGAAGAACCCCAATCTCCCCTGAAGGAATCAAATGGCCCTAGATTAGAAGATAAGCGAGAGGATATGACAGCGACCAAATCGTAAGCACCTTTTTTTTTTTTTTTTTTTTTTTAAACTTCAAGACAGACCTAATTAATTTATTTCCTCCTTTTTTGGTATGTGTACAGAAATTCATCAACATTCGATGCTGAGAACCAGCGGGATGATAAGTACAAGATAGATCTAATGGTCAGCACAATTTTCTTCATCATCATCTTCTTCTTCTTCTTAATACTCTCAGTCAATTTTTTTTTTAATATTTGATATGAAAATTAGACTTTTCGTCCTTGGGTTGTGTACAGGCTCCTCCACCATTACGAGCTTCTCCGGAAAGAGAGGGTGAGATTGATTTTGTGGCCGTAGATGCTAAACCTATGGTCATAGATGCAGACACGGTAAGCGGGCCACACCTACCTTCTCCTCCCCACTTGCTTTAAAGCTATATGGCCCATGTTGGAATTTATTGTATATAATCGAGTTTGGCTTACATTTATGTAGGAAATGAAGCCTCTGATAAATGAAGACGACAAAGGAACAATCAGACTTGGGGGGGCTAAAGAGGCGCTGAACGTGGAGTCTAAGGCTATACCAGCTGAAGAAGCTGATTCAAAGAATCCCATTGCTTGCAAAGATAGGAATTTTGACCTTCAGCTTGATTTAGTTAAGACGATTGATAGAGATGGCCCCAACAAGCTCCACCAGCATGTTCAGAAACAGCCGCCGCAACCCAGCTCGGAAAAGGCTGGATCTGCCGGTAGGTTCCCATTTTCAAATCCCAGTCGCCCATTCTCTCCTTTTCCATATCTTGTTTTGGTTTGAATGGGTTTGCTGAAAATCTTCTTTTTTTTTTGTTACTTTCTTGTTCAGTACAAGCGGGCTCTCTTCCTTTGCCCATGTCTCTACCCGGTTGGCCAAGTGGGCTGCCTCCTATGGGGTACGCTCGCCACAATCTGATCCTCTTACCAGTATATATTGGTGCTTTTTTGTTCTACTCCCATTGGAATGACGCTGTTGTTTGTTAGCAGATATGTGGCACCACTACCAGGAGTTGTGTCTGTGGATGGAAGCGCTTTGCCTGCTGCTGCCATGCAGGTAGTTATATCTGCATTTTTCTGAACTTTCTTCTTTCTACTTTTTCTACTGTTATTTTGTTCTCTTTCTGTACAATTCCTAATTCTATACTTGTCTGCCTGTTATTAGCCCCCAAATTTCCTTTTTCCTCAACCTCGGCCGAAGAGGTGTGCTACGCACTTCTACATTGCTCGGAATATATTGTATCATCAACAAATTGCGAGGATGAATCCATTCTGGCCAGCAGCAGCAGGTTCTGCTTCCTTGTTTGGGGCCAAGCATGGTAATCTCAGCATCGTGCCCTCTACAGATTTGCAAGGAAATCTTCCGAAAAGCGGGGTAAATGCAATGCAGGATAAGGGACAGAGCCTCGGAATGTTTACGGGTCATGCTGGGAAGGATAGGGGCTCTCCAGCTGTTAACGTTGTCGATGCCTCTCAGAGAAAGCAAATCTTGCTTCAGCAAGCTCTACCGCCGGGAGCACCTAGTAATATCCTGGTATAACTACCTCAACAATTACTTTTGTTGGCGGCATAGGGGGTGTACGTTTCTTTTCTTCTTCTTTCTTCTCCCTTTCTAAATAGCCTGAATTTTTGGTGGCTTGTGTTGAATTTCAGCATGGCCCTGCTTTCATTCTGCCTCTGAGCCAGCAGCAACAGGCAGCTGTAGCCACATCGGTTCGGCCAGTTTCTGTGAAGTCTCCTCCTCCTAGTGGGAATGCCAACGGCAGCGTGGCTTCAAATGCTTCAAATCCAGCCTCTGTTAGTACCTCACCCGCTGCAGCGATGAGTTTCAACTATTCGGGTGTGCCTGGCAATGAACCACAGTATTTAGCCATTTTACAGAACAATGGATATACATACCCAATTCCAGCACACGTAGGAGCACCGCCTGCATATAGAGGAAGCCACGCTCATTCAATGCCGTTTTTCAACGGGTCGTTTTATTCTTCACAAATGCTTCATCCTTCGCAGCTTCAGCAGCAACCGCCACCTCAGTCTCACCCTAATCAACAGGGACTTCAAAATGCTAATACTGCCAATGGTTCCTCATCGTCTCAGAAGAACATGTCTAATCAGCAGCAGAGGCCACATGGGAGCAGTTTCAGTGGGAACTTTCAAGGCTTTCCTGCATCCAGAAATCTGCCATCTCAATCACAGCACCCACAGCAGCAGCAGAACCACGCCTCTCATCAAACAAGGCAACACGAGTCTGAAATCGGCGGTGAAGATAGCCCGTCCACTGCTGATAGTCGAGTGAATCTTGCTAATCTGAGTGTCTACGGTCCAAATTTTCCAATGCCAATGCATACTCCTAATTTTGCTATGATGCCTCCTGCATCGATGGTGGCCGCAGGTGGGGCACCTATTGACAAGAAACAGCAGCCTCAACAACAGTCACAGGGTTCAAAAGGTCTGGAACAATCTCAAACTATTCCTTTGTCTTTTGCTCCTCCCAACGGGGCGCCCTCTGCTCCTGGGCTTGACCTTTCATCCTTATCACCAAATCATCCTATTTTTCAAAGTCTTCCTGAGATCACCAGGCAAGGGTATCATCAGATTATGGCCGCTGCCGCCGCTCAGGTTGCTCAGCAGAAAAAGAATTATCGTGTAGCAGAAGAAGGAAAAACCACACATTCATCGGTTGGGGAGGATGAGAGAAAAAATATGTCTGTTAAGGCACCTCCAACTGTTGGTCAGTCCATTGCCTTCTCTAGAACTGATTTAGCCGAGACATTAATTTCCTCAATGCCAGCTGGGGCTGCTGTTGATAGCTCTGCAAGAACTCTCAAACTTGGTTCTACTGCTAGAGCTTCAGGTTCCGTTATGCCGTCTGGGATGAGCACTGTAAATATGTGTGGTTCCCAGCATCAACTACAGCGAAATCATCATCATCATCAGCAGCAGCAGCAGCAGATGATTCAGCTTCAAAAGCAGCAGCAATATGCAGCTGCTGCAGCTGCGGTAGCGAGGACGAAAACATCAGCAACAAGTAATGGCAATGTTTATGCCGAGCACCCTCCTGCGTCTTCGATGGCTGCGAAGTTTCCTAATGCATTGTCTTCTTTTTCTCAAAATCTTGTCCCAAGTAACAGCAATAGTCCTGCTCAATCTCCTCAGTGGAAAAATTCTGTAAGAACCACTTCATCTCAGGTACCAACCCCCCCTCATTCTTCGTCTAATACATCATCTATCAAAAATCTTCCCCAACAGCAGCAGCAGGGGCGTCCACAGCAAAATCACTCTCAGATTTCTTTTGCGGCGAGCTCAAAATCTACAGCACAATCACAAGGACAGCAACCTGCAAGCAGTAATCATCCGCAATCGCCCGGAATGATTGGCTCACCAACTAATTCTTCACTCTCAAAGGGTGCCGGTGGAAGCCCACGGACAGCTACTTCGGGTTCCATGAGTCACAAAGTTGGTCAATCATCTTCTTTATCATCACAGCAGACAAAGAATCCTACATCTATGCCCCCTCAGAAGTTATCTCCTGCTGGTGGGCGAAACGTTACGTCAATTCTTGGCAATAATCAAATGACCTCTTCAAGTTCTGGAACTAAATTATCCCAACAGTCGCAGCAGCAACAACAGCAACAGCAACATTTGTCGAAGCAATCATTGCAGCAAGCCCAGGTGCTCTTCCCTTATATGCAGGCCCAAGTTTCCCATTCAAGTAGCAGTCCAACTGCTTCACCTTCAAGCGGTTATTATCCAAGGCGTCGTCCTGAGCAGCAATCACAATTGCAGGGCTCAGGAGGAACATCCTCAAATGGAATGCTATCCCTATGCCACCCTGTTACACTCGGAGGTAACAGCACTACTGATCCAGCTAAGGCCGTTGCTGCTGCGGCTGCTGCCACAGCCAACAATATGAAGGGCGGTAGCTTATCCACACAAGCCATTCTCCATCCTGCTCAGTTTGCTGCTGCACAGTCCTCCGGTAATCCTCATCAACTTGTACCTGCAGGTTTTCCTTGCGTGCATACCGCTGCAGTGCAAGTGAAATCAACAGAGCAGAAACAACCTGCGGGTGGGTAGAATTATGGCCCTTGTTCTTAACCAACCATCCAGCTATTATTTCAAATCAGGACTGAAGACATGCAAATGGTGCAAGCCCAGGAAAGTAACAATGGGCATATCATATGGCAGCCTGAGAAGAAATGAAAGTTCAAATAGCTAAGCAGCGGCAGTCTGATAGCCCGTCGGACTCTTAAACCCACAATTTTGGAAAGCTATGAGAGGAAGTGGGAAGATTGTCCTCCATTTGAGAGGGTGCTTCAGCTGTGGGTTGTTCAGTTATATGGTGGTTTGGTCTGGATGGGGGAGAGGAAAGGCAATCAATCAATCCAAAGAAGAACCTTTGATTAAAGGGGGGCAGCAACACAGCAGTTCGCAGAGTAAAAAAATCAAGATTTCCTTCCCTTCCTTCGGGTGGGTTGTAATGGTGGAGGTTCTTTTTCTTCCTTAAATATTTGATTTCATTACCTTTTTTGAGGTTTATTCTCTCTTTAAGAGCCATAGAACAGTATCTTTTAACATATTATGTGCAGTGAAAAGGGGGTGTAGTTGTATATGTTTGGCACATATAATGGGTAGCCCTCAAATTTTTTTGATTTAAAACAAAGCCTGTTGCCTTGCCTCGCCTCGCCTCCTTGAAATTCCTTGTTGTTTTCACTGACCCATGTGATGTAGTAGTAGAAAAAGCTAACACATTCATGTTCTTGAAGCTTTTAATCTGTATCTGTGAGATAGTTTAAGCTGATATGGGGTGGGAAAAGATGAACAATGGTGATGTCTGTGGAGTGTATGGTGGACTGTTCATTTCATCTTTTTCTGTGAATGGTAGTGGAAAAGAGGGTTGGCAGAGAAATTGTAGTCGTCGACAAAAGAAGGTTGTGGAAAAGGGAGGCCCTCTTTTGTTGTCAATATCTCACTCGTGGCTGTGTTAGAACAACTTTATCTGTATCTCCTTTTTATGTGGGAAGAAATTAAATGTTTTGATTTGAAGAACATTTTGTATTTATAACCAAATTTGCGGATTAGGACTGAAAGTCTGGGGGTGGCTGTGGATGTTGTGGCTGAGTAGGAAAAGGACTGTATGTGGGCCTTTCACAACAATCAAGGTCGAGGAGATAGGACTTACGTTTCTGACATGTTCCCTCTATTATAACCTAACAAGATATATCCTCTTGCACGTGTCTCCCTTATGTATTTAATATTTTCCAAGTTTTTCAAATGCATTTTTTTAATCAAATTTTTAAGATTTTGTTCATAACCCATGTACCTTTAGATGTTCTTGTAAACCCTAGCTCCAAAGTTAGGTCATGTTCGGGTAAATGTCAACCAAGAGTTATACGTTATCTAAGTAGCTGTATTGCTTTTCTTGCTTGTTAGTTTATTACATTACTTTCAAACCCTCTTCTTCTCAAAATAGAATTGGAGGTTTGGACATATGTCATTTGACCAACAATGACACAATTTTAAGTTGGTCAGACTTACTCGGTGGTGTGAGTTAATGTCGTGGATCGTTACCTATAGATCTCCCTCTTATCTTGAAAGGGAGAGGCAAAAGGAATATACGTTGTTTATCACCTTGGTAGGGAGAGGGACCCATTTCCATGAGAAAATCTATTCAAAGAATAATGCCCAAAATATGACCATTTTGTACGTTATTAGATGAACACGACTCTCCACAATGGTATGATATTGTCCACTTTGAGCATAAGCTCTCATGGCTTTGCTTTGGGCTTCCCCAAAAGACCTCATACCAATGGAGTTAGTATTCCTCACTTATAAACCCATGATCACACCCTAAATTAGTCGATGTGGGACTTCCATCATCCAACACACGTATCGTTACTTATTCTTTGTTTCTAAGGGTGATTTCTGGCTAAGCTAGAGTTGCTCCAAACAAAACACACTTAACTTTGGAATTCTTATGATTGAACCAATAGCGATGCACTTTATTACTATAGATAGTAACTTTCCATTCTTTTAATTCATGTACCTCTTCTGTACTCGGGTGTCACAAAAATAGTGATAGACATCTACCACAATAGGTATTTAGAACTGAGATATCACAGAAATAAACGTTTCTTATGCAAACACCTTTCAAACCGAGACTCTATAGCATGTATAGTTATAAAAGAAAGGTTGAAAGAAGGGAAGTTGGTAGATGTTTGATGGAAGTATTGTGAAATAATAAATGATGGGGCATTTATGTCTCAAAATGGAAAGCAATCTATTCTTTTCTTTCTTATCTCTAATTTTGATGTCGTAGGACCTATTTGGCATGCAATCTTATTTCTCTTATTTCTTTTTTTTTTTTTGATTCTATATTATATATATATATATATGTTTTTAGTATATTCATTATATAATTATAATTATATAAAGTGAATTATAAATTAATTAAATAATTATGAAACTATTTAGTATTCAAAATAAAATATAAATATAAATAAATAAATAATTAGATGAAAATAATTATAAAAGGCTTCGTACATTATTTAAATCAAACTTTATTGTAATAATTTTAAGATTAGGTTGGAAGGTTTGCCTAACTTTAAGTCAAAGTTTTGGTCTATATATAAAGGCTAGAAACTTCCAAAAATAATAATAAATAAAAAAAGAATCTTGAAAAGGTGAATTAAATTAAGGTTTATGATTAAACCCTTTGTAATAATATGTTTAATATAGCTAAATAGTAGGCTGTCACGTTTGAGTGAATGAGTCGTATGAAGGTTAAGAAATATTAACAAGAGTTGAAAGTTACTGTCCTATACTAACCAAGTGAACCTTCTTTTTAAGTGACTTGATCGTATGAACCCTAAAATTAATTGTATGTAAGTTTGAGTAATTCTGCGTTGGATAACCTTTTAGGGATTTTGGTTTGAACGTGTAACTGATGAAAAAACATGCTAAAATAATTCGTGTTTGTTTATGGGGATAGTGTTTAGTTTTCGAAACAATTCAAAACAAGTTTTAAAATCATGAGGCTGACGACGGTATGTAATGGGTCAAAACAGACAATATCTACTCGTAGTGAGCTTGAGCTATTACAAATGGTATGAGAGCCAGACACTAGGCAGTATGTCCGCGCAACGTGAGATCCCATCAGTTGAAGAGGGGAACAAAACGTTCCTTATAAGAGTATGAAAATCTCTTCTTAGTAGATGCATTTTAAAACCGTGAACTTGACGATGATACGTAATAAGTCAAAGCAGACCATATCTGCTAATGGTGGGCCCGTTAGAATTAAAAAAAAAAACAAAAACAAAAATGAAAGCTTTTTAATAGGCTTCTCCACACCCATCTGTATATTTTAAAAGTCATACCTCAAAATCATTATTAATTACTTATGTACACTTTTTGTGGGCACACCATATCTTCATTTATAGCCTCACTAATTTATCAAATTAAAATAAAATAATAATAATAATAATGTTAATTAATTAATTAATTAATATATATATATATATATATATATTATCATTTTCAAAACAAATACTTTTCCCTTAAAAAAAATAATATTATAAATGCTAAAAATTATACTTTTTAAATATTTAAACCCTAATTTTGAATCTAATCCCTTATTGTTTTTTTTAAAATATATTTTATTTAACATTTACTTAATGAAGCATTTTTATAAAAAAAAAATAATAATAAAGGACATTTTGGAGGGAAAATTGTCTTTAATTATTCTATTTTTATTATCACAATCATGAGAGAGAGAGATCGGACGGTGGAGATGAGATGTCTTTAGGAATGGCCATCCAAAATGTTGGGATAACATATTTATTTATTTAAATAATATATATATATATATATAAAAGGGGTGAAGTGGGTCCTACTTCCAGAAATGTTTTTTTAATAATAAATTTTTTAAGGGGTGGGGCCCGCAAAGAAGACAAAAAGTCCCGCCTTCTTTGTTCTCATTATTCCTTCCTATATACTATACGCCAATTTCAACATTACTTTATATTATTTATTTATTTATTTATTATTTATTTTTCAAATAACATAACTTTATTTTCGTACATTATATTATCTTATAAGAAAATAAATAAATATGCACACTTTCATTTTATATATATATATATATATTTTAATTAGCAATCCAATGGTCCAGATTAAATAGATGCTGACTTACCATTTCTTTTTTTTTCGTGGTCCCCACACCCATCCCGAAATTTCGACTTTTACTAAAATATCCTTAAACTTTACTCATATTTCAATTATACTTTTATAAAATGATTTTTTTTTATTTTTATACCAAACATTTATTTTTAAAAATATTTTTAGAATTTCGAAATTGTTTAAAAAAAAAATTAAAATAATAATTAAATCATATTTACTCTCCTAGTTTTTTTTTAGGAAACGTTTCTTATAAGGGCTGGAAACCTCTCTGTGGTAGATGTGTTTTATACCCGTAAGACTGACGGTAATACGTAACGAGCTAAAACGGATAATATTTATTAACGATGGATTTGAGGTGTTAAATGAGTCAAATTCAAATTGACGACGAACTAGTTGGATAATAATTATTAGTATTTTGTGTAGCGTTAGACACGTTAGTAAGCTAAATAGTTGGAATTAATTAATTATTTATTAAGATATTATTATGTCATTGGATTTTTTAATTTTGTTGCTAATATTATTAGTGCTTCTTGACAATGAAATCACCAAAGCTCTCCACTTTGGGTAATTGGACAAATTCAATAATCATTCGTATTATTCTTTCAATAAATAATTATTACAATTTATTTCGGCATTATTTTTAAAAATGTATTTATATGGTGTTTTTATCGGTTCAAAAAATTCATCCTAAAGATTTCATTCGATTGGAATTTGGTTATTCGCCACGTACGAGGATTCTCGCTTAATGTCACATCGTAATCTTGCAGCAGCGGGACAACGATTGTGTGACACTTATTCAAACTCAACTAAAAAGTCAACTGTGAAAAATTCAAACTTGGAAACAATGTCTGCATATGCTCGAGTCTTGAGTCATATTTGAGAGAGATGTTTTAGAAAACGTTAACGAGGAAATACGTTAAAAACAATTTGAAAAAAAGTAATGTTATAAGTTAAAAGTGATTAAGCAACAATGACAGCTTTGCTAGCATATAACCCGAGTAAGAAAAAGTGACAGCTAATCATCCACATGTAGTACATTTTGGGGCATTTTAGCTCTAACGGGTATAGACATGATTTTGGTAAAGGATCATACATCCCTATATTGACACAACATGAGATAGCAATCACTTATCTAAGATGAAACCATGTAAAAGGGGTTTAGAACAGGCATGTGGCTATGGACAAGCATAATCGGGACGTCCGATATGCGACCATAGATAATACGCTTTCAACAAGCATGACTATGACACTAAGCATTCATGGTTAAATTGTTTAAGCTTCAATTCCTACTGTTTGCACGCCATCGGGCTCTCCAGTAAGTCGATTGGAATTGGTCACACCAAAATTATTATTATTATTATTTTAATCAATTTTTTTAAAAAAATGACGTGTCTAATTGATAGCCGTTTAGGAAATCTTATACTAAATTGTTTTATGTGCAGAAAACAGCATCTTTGTTTAGGTCATCAGATGAGAGGCCATGATTGGTGACCAAATAATTAAATATAAAGGGAAAATACAACTCATAATATAAGACAAATTTCAGAACCAACTCTTCATCTCTCCCACATGAAATCACCTGGAATCACGCTAAACTATATAATATATATATATATATATATATATATATATATATATATATATATATGTACTCCTCAAATTTTGCTCAAAAGTTGAGGTGACCGGACCGTCACCCGAGATACTTAGATAAATTTAAAAGAACGAGTTCCATCACGTCAACTTTCTATTCAACGTTTTTCTACTCTAAAAGTAACTTTGGAACGCTTCAAAAATAAAAACGAACGATTAGGCTGTGACCGTGGCCCAAGATACTTAGATGAATCTAAAAGAACTATGTTCCACCATGTCAAAGTTCTTCTACTCCAAAAGTAGCTTTGGAATGCTTCAAGAATAAAAAGGAGCTATTAGGCTATGACTGTGACCCGAGATACTTAGATGAATCTAAAAGAACGACGTTCCATCACATGAACTTTTCATTCATCGTTCTTCTACTCCAAAAGTAGCTTTGGAACGCTTCAAAAATAAAAATGAGCGATTAGGTAGTGACCATGACCCAAGAAACTTAGATGAATCTAAAAGAACGATGTTCCATTACATAAACTTTTCATTAATCGTTCTTCTACTCCAAAAGTAGCTTTAGAACGCTTCAAGAATAAAAATGGGCGATTTAGGCAGTAATGAATCACAATATGTCTGGGATTAAGAATGAATAATGATGTATGTTTCCAATGGTTAACTAACAGTGGGTAAATTAATATAATTACCCAAAGTAACGGTTCCCTCCCCCCAATCAGAACTGGGTTTATGACACTACATATCATGGATAGCACCTTTCCTATTCTAAACAGCTTTCTAAAACAATGTTTCTTCTCTCCAGACATATCCTCGATTACTCGAATCGAAACAGTTGATGCTAAATCTTAGTAAAGTATATGAGTGATAAAAGAGATGACATTAGAACCGGGTTAATTCGAGCATGCTGATGCAGGAACTTTGTTCGTCAACGCAGCCAGCTCCTCATCTTGCTGTTGCTTCAAGTACCTTTGGGCAGTTGAAGTCATAATCTTGACAGAGAAGTTCATGATCATGAGCCATACTATAGTGTTCCAGATGGATGAAACTGAGAAATCCCATTTGGCCTGAATGTGACAATGGCCCATTTTAGCAGAGACAAGCTCAGGCAAACAGATCAACAGGATGTTCAGAGAGTTACCTTGACATTAGTGGCCGCATGAGATGGCGCTTTCAGATACTTAGCTTTGATTGCATTGAGCTTCGAAATGAGCTCGGGCAAGACCGATGAAAATCCAGGCACGAAGCTGAGTATCCATATTAGTTCGTTTTCTATCCAATCAAGAAGTTGATTGTTGCAAACGGCAATGATGAAAATGGTCTGCACAGGACATGATAAACACAGAGCTATCAAAGGATGTAGAAGGGATTGAGTAGCGTTCAGAAAGTGCAGAAGTTTATAGATTGATAATAACTTAGCTCCTTGCAAACCAAGTCAAGATATAGAACCTTTACAAACCTGGATGTGAGTTTTGATAATGGCTTTTCCGACGAGCGTAGCGAAAAAGAATTCCCAGAAAGGAATACCGAATTGTCCACACATAATGCCCGCCAAGTCAAACAGAGGATTTGGAACCTGAAAGATAGTAGAAATGAGCGTACTTTCATTTCTCTGAACAAGTCTGGGCATTAAGACTAGCTACGAGACAACTCTCGAAAATCGAATAAGATGTTTAATAACCGAGGCAGGTGGTTGGTACCAAAATGTATTTGCTTTACAATGTGTTCCATTGAACAACTTAACATGAAGGGAGAAACATCACATGAAACTAGCAAGCAGTGGCAAAAAAACATGAAAGAATAAAGTCTTGACTAACCGAAGCAAGCAGTAGAATAGTAAGGAAATTCAAATGTTGAGCGTGTGAAAGGAACCATCGCTTCACTCTATTTAAGTATGTTGGAATGAATCCATTAGTTTCTCTCGAAGAGGCATTGAGTTCTTCCATTGCTTCTGATCTGCCACCGGAGAGGCGTGCTGCATAATGGAAGAAATATATTTGAACAGATATGAAAAGCATAGCAGCAATGCCAAGAAAAGTACGGCAGCAAAACAATAAACATACTAGAACATGTTATTTTGCGATTGGACTATTTCAGTTCACAGACTGGTATTGTTGGTCTAAAACATAGCACTGATCGCAAAGTTCAAATTAAAAACTAGAGCGAGCTCCGGTTTGTCAATACAGTCTCTGCTCTTTCATTATTCTCTATCATCATCTTGACAAAAGAAAGGTTTAAAAAAGAAGTCCTCGCTGGCACAACGCCTGGTGTCCATTCCCCTTCGGGGTTCAGCCTCCTCCTTGGCAGATCGCCCGAGGTCTGGCTCCGATACCAATTGTAAACATCCAAGCCCCACCGCTAGCAGATATTGTCCGCGCTCGTTATGTATCGTTGTCAGCCTCACAATTTTAAAACATGTCTACTATGGAGAGGTTTCCATACACTTATAAGGAACACTTCACTTTCCTCTCCAACCAACGTGGGATCTTACAATCCACCCCTTGGGGGTCCAGCGACCTCGCTGGCACACCACTCAGTGCCTGGCTTTGATACCATTTGTATCAATCCAAACCCACAGCGAGTAGATATTGTCCTCTTTGGGTTTTCTCTTTCGGGCTTCCCCTCGAGGTTTTTAAAACGCATCTACTAGAGATAGGTTTCCACACCCTTATAAAGAATGTTTCATTCCCCTCTCTAACCAATACGAGATCTCATAAAGAATGTTTCATTCCCCTCTCTAACCAATACGAGATCTCATAAAGAATGTTTCATTCCCCTCTCTAACCAATACGAGATCTCATAAAGAATGTTTCATTCCCCTCTCTAACCAATACGAGATCTCATAAAGAATGTTTCATTCCCCTCTCTAACCAATATGGGATCTCTAAGCCAATTAATCATAAGCTAAAACTAACTACATGATGACCTTGAAGCCAAATGTCGCCCAATAGTTCCTTCCCATGATAGCACATCATTGATTAGATAGGAGAAGAGGGATCCCCCACCCAGCGTAAACTAGAGGAGACCTTTCCAATTATTAATATCACGAAAAGGCTGTAGTAGTGAGAAAGAATTTTACATCTCCAATTGGTAAAAGATCACAAAAAAGTTTGAAATATTTAAGATTGCAGTAAACATTCAACTAAAGTAATCGATATGTTTAAAAAATTTGAATGCATCGAATATTAGATGATATATCAAGAATTTGTCTCTCCCATTGGGAAAAAGATCACAAAGAAGTTTGAACCATTTCAGATCACGACAGACATTCAACTAAAGTAATCAACATGTTCACAAAGTTCAAATAGATTTTTTCATACTCGTGCTTCTATACCATCTATTATCATTCAAGAGGAATGAATGATATCACCCCCATTATCAAGAATCATGTAAACATCACTAGAAAATAAGGAGGAAATGACATTATAACTTTTAGGAATACTAATAAGTACTTATTTTCTCATACCTGCCCTTGAGATAAAATAAGGAGGAAGCTCTCCTAGGGCGGTCCCAATACCCCACAGAATTGCCTCTATCTGAACCATTGGCAATATGCTGCTGAGTGGGACTTGTGATGTGAAAACTGCAGGTCCAAATTCTGAACAATCCTTCTCGAGCCACGATGGGCCTCTTTTCAATTGTATTGTGTCATAAGTGGCACTCTTCAAGTCCACTCGACCACACTGCACCGCCTTTATTGTGAAAAACCCAATGTGAGGCCCAAGATACAGGACAAAAGTATGCAGACCAGACCCTGAAAGTAAATGATAGGGAGTGAAATAATACACTAAATACAATCTTGATCATAACAGAAAGATGCAATCTAAATATCACAGAAAAATGTTGTCTTTTCCAAAGAAGCAACAATAATCAGCACTGCTAACCATCATTTAAACCAAACAACATTAATTACCAAGACCAATTGATGATGCAACTCCAAGGATCACCCACCACAAGCCGTAGTCAAAGTATTTCACAATCTCCTCAACATGCTGCAAAACACAGAGGATTTATTTGATAAAATGATTGCTCAAAACTGGAAGGCAGTGGACGAATCAATAGGAAAAAGCCAATAATGTCAAGAACAGAAATAAATCGACTTCCTGAATATAAAGGAGGAACAGGGTAGTTTATGAAGAACAGTTTGATTAGGACATCCTACATCTCTTCTCTATCCACCATCTTAACAATTCCTCTAAATACTTACAAGTTTCAATCTCTTCTGTAATATGGCATTTCTACTGGATTTGATTTTCTTTCTTTCTTTCTTTCTTTCCTTTTTTTTTTTTTTTTTAATGAAGAAACTTGACTTTCATTCAGATAAAATGAAAGAATACATGGGCATACAAAAGAAGGAAAAAGTCCACAAAAAGGAGACAGACTACAAGAAGGGGCTCCAAACTAACTAGTTACAAAAGAGCCTCGAAACATGGAATCTAACAAAGGATCAAAAACTGCCATAAGAACTCTCACATCTTCTAAAAATTTTGTTGTTTCCCTCTACCCAAAGTCCCCACAAAATAGTGCATGCCCCAACCTCATCGATTATACATGTGGTGTATAAACATTGTGACAGAATTTTCAAAGCTATAAATATAGTAACTCTCAAGAGCCTACACAAATAGGCAGGAATTTAAATATACGACTTTTATTCACAGAACATTTGAGATCCTACATTGGTTGGAGAGGGGAACGAAGCATTTTTTATAAGGGTTGGAAACCTCTCCCTAGTAGACGCGTTTTAAAAACCTTGAGAGAAAGCTCGAAAGGGAAAGCTCAAAGAGGACAATATCTGCTAACAGTGAGCTTGGGCCGTTACAGAACATCACTCGTGGGCATCCATGATAAAACAATATCATAAGGCAATCGTTTTCTTAGAACTCATCACATTTGAGATGGTACGGCATTAAATCCACAAATAGTAAACCTAGAAAAATGTTGATAAAATATAGAATATACATCCAGAAGGCTGCCATACTAATATACCGTATCGAATCACAAAGATGCTTCCACATTACGGCAGGAACAGACTATCATGGTTTATCCAACATAAAGTAAAACTTGCAGATGCATAAATACACACACAGTGTTGAAATAAGTGAAAATCTGAAGCTAACATGAATACAAACAGGCAGAGATACCTTCTCATGTGGCCCTTCGATAGTCAAAATCAAAATTCCAGCTACCCCAATAATCAAGTGTAAGAGCAAAAACCAACCACCTTTCGCTAAAATGTATGCAATCGAGCGTTTGCTATATTGAAGAACACCCAAAATGAAAAACTTCAATGTTTTGAATGGTTGAGTAACCAATGTCAAATTTTCGAGTTCTTCCTTTTGCTTTCTACTTAGCTCTGCAAATTATGGTAACTTCATCAGGAAATAAAATCCAATGTGAACGATCCCAAGTTAGGTTGAATACGAGAGAATACGCATTCTCGTTAGTTCCATAAAAAGTCAAGTGAAAGCAACAACTAAAACAGTAAATCCTCGGACACAAATCGGAACTGAAGAAGCAAGACACAGATACATTTCAGTTTTGAAACTCCAATAGATCCAGAACTAATATTCATGTTTCCACGCTCGTTTGCAATTAACCAGTAAAGCCAATCAATCAAAGCCCCTTACCACGCATTAACAAATGCATTTCACTTCATTAACACACTTCAGCCAATCACCAGCCTCAATTCTCTCTTAAAAGTTAACAATAATGACAATATAAACAATATATAAACCCAAGGCTCCAATTACAACATCAACTACCCTTCTTGCAGATACGAGTCTTAGCATCAAAATCTATCAATGAAATACTAAATGATTAAAACAAACTTCCAAATTAGAAGGCCCTAATTTCCTTCAACTTTTCTTGTATCAATGCTTCGGCCGAACAAAAGATAAATTACGAGAGACAGGAATACTTGCCTGAAATGGATACTTCAGAATCATGAGAAGCAATGGAAGCTGCTTCTTCAACAGTCCCCATTCCGCGAACAGCAATTGGAAGACCGTATCGAAAGGGAGAAAACGGAGAGAAAAAAAAATCTAGTTGCTATCGTTTTCTCTTGTATTAAAAAAAAAAATGGTAACATCCAGATCAGAGATCGACAAGCATCATGACGAGAATCGAGAGGAAAAAACAGATAGCAAAAATTCAAAATACAGCACCTGTTCTTGAAGATCGGAAAACAAAGGGAGGATAGAGAGAGAGAGAAAGAGAGGGAAATCAAAGGCGTTTTTGGCACGAAAATCCTCTCTGCTGAGTTTATCGCGTCTTCATTCGCCCCTCCAAGATCGAATCTTTGGTTCTTTCCTCGATCGATATTTATTTTCCCCCAATTTTGAGAAAATGTTTGTCAGATTGTTCCTTGGTAAATGTAAATAAAACGTTATGTAATAAAAAATAAAAAAAAAATACAAAAATTTTAATTTTTTTAAATAAAATTTCAATATTGTTAAAACTAAAATATAAATATATATATTATATTTACTATTAAAAAATATACTTAACTTTTAAAAATTGTATTAATATTTTTTACTATATACCGATGAATACGACCAAAAAAAGGGAGACAATTAACTTAGTAAACCGGTAGCTACTAAAAGATAAACGACTTGTTTTTCCTTTCTGTGAGTATAGAATGATGAGCCCAAGTTACGAGCAGTCATTTATGAGTTTTAGAAGGTGATCTCGATTATTCTCTCGATAATGAAACTTATCCCCGTCATGTCATTTTGACTTTTGATATTTTGAGAACGACAATGTTATTGTAATTGCAAAAAAGGGAAAATCAGTCACATTAAAATTACCTTACAAGAAGGTCGATTTAAAATTTTAAAAGGCTCGTATATATTTATTTTTATAAAAAAAAAATAATTGTTTTGTATGCATATTTATTATATAATAATTGATTTTAACCCTTTTTTTTTTTCAATAATTATTTTGTATTCTAGTATCGTTTAATAAATTAATAATATACTAAAATATTAAAAAATTTAAAAAATATATATATTAAAGTATTTTAGTTTTCTTGCACGGAATACCCAACTTGGGAAGTTAAAATTAAATAAATACTCATAAATTTTTTTAAAATTCATTAATGAAAATTTTATATATAAAAAAAAAATCTCAATGAAAATTGGAAAAGTACTCTTAAATAAATTTGTTAAACGAACACGACTCTCCACAATCATATGATATTATCTACTTTGAGCTCTCATGACTTTGATTTGGGCTTCGTACCAATGGACAGAGTATTCACGCATGATCATTCCCTAAATTAACCGATGTGTGACTTTCATCCAGCAAAAATTGTTACTAGTGGATTGAGTTGGACCATTTTTTAGAACGAGTACAATTGTTCGGGTGGTAGATTTTTAGAGCCATTAATTATCTCGAAATGTTTACTATTTGAAATTATAAGTATAATCAATCTCAAGCTTCTTTTACAAAGGTTTTCATCATTAAACTAGCTAATTAATAAATAATTATAATTTATAATAGACTTAGCACCAACTAATTATTTCATTATTACTCTTATAATTTGGGTTGGTACCATCGGTGGGAACACAAAAAATAATAAAATAAAAATAAACCTCTGAACTCTTGAACTTTTGGGCCGACCAAAACTAAGCCCAAATGGATTGTAGGAGCATCAGAGTATCTTGCATGTCCCTATTGGATTGTCCTTTATCGCCACTTGGGCCTAGGCCCACCTAAATTAGAAACAAATATTTTAAATATTAACTTTTGAAAATAATAAACTTTCATTTATTTTCTTTAATTTGAATGAATAATCTCCCATTTGAAATTACTTCTACACCATTTTTAAAATAATATTCATAGTCATGATAATTAAATAATTTAAATATATATATATATATGTATGTATATTTCGCTCTCTCCTTTCTCACACCATTTTTGGAGTGGGCCGATACACTGGACAAGTTGTATCCCATCGGCATCAATTGCATCTACTTGACTTTACATATACCTGCACTCGAACGTCACTCACATTTAAAGAATTGTATTGAAGATGTTGAGAAAAAGAAGAATAAAATGATTGTTTGTTTTGGTCTGCTTTGGTAAGTATGTTACGTATTGATATCAGTCTCCATCTATTAGGGAGAAGTTTTCACTTTTAAAAGAAATGTTTTGTTTTCGTTCTCCTCTCGGGACCTCACATGTTAAATAAACATGTTTGAAACCTTAATATGCTTCCCGTCCGTGACAAGAAAAGGACAAGAAAAGGAGGGCATCCTACACTATCCTCTCATGGAGGCAAAGCTTAATAACTTTTAAAAAAAAAAAAAAATTAAATAATAATTATCAATTAAAAGGTCTAATATGTGATTTATCTTTAACCCATTCCTTAATCTCCACGTTAAAGAAAATTCTAATGTAACTCTTTTGAAAAGGAAAATTTTATCATAGTCATTTATAAAAATTTTGAAATATAAATTAATATTAAAAAAAAATAATTAATTTCATTAGTGCTCTGTTTTACTTCTGTTAAATGCAATGCAACAGCCAACAGAGAGCTTCCAATCAATCCAGTAATTTTGTTGTTCTCCCTCACCCATTGTTGCAGGCTTCTTCTTTCATTGCTCTGTTTCAGTTGACAATGGGTGTCTGTCCTGGCGTGGAGATGCTTCAGAAGCTCTTGGAGGAGTTTTTCTCCAGAAACTTGATGAAGTTCGGCTATGGCAGCGGCCATGGCCGAGGGAAGAGAATTAGAGGCACAGTGGTGATTATGAAAAAGTGCCTCCTCGACTTCAAAGATGTTAAGGCTTCGATTCTCGATCGAGTTCATGATTTCTTCGGAAATGGCGTTTCCATTCAGCTCATCAGCTCGAATCTGCCTGATTCAGGAGAAAGATTAGGAGTGGGGAAACTGGAGAAGTGGACAACGACGGTGACGCGGTCGTTAACGGCGGAGGAGATTGAGCTGAGAGTTTTCTTTGAATGGGAGGAGAGTATGGGAGTACCGGAAGCTTTCATCATTAGAAACAATCATCGGAGCCAGTTTTACTTGAAGACAGTGACTTTGCAGGATGTTCCCGGCCATGGCGGCTCTGTTCATTTCGTCTGCAATTCTTGGGTTTACCCTGTTCATCGCTATGCTTACGACCGTGTCTTTTTCTCCAACAAGGTAACATTTGGTCTGTGCTTAGATTCTTCATTTTGGGTGCACAAAATTTTGATTCTAAAGCCATGAAATGATTTTGTTAGAGTTATCTTCCAAGTGAAACGCCTGAGCCACTGCGGAAATACAGAGAAGAAGAGCTTGTTAATCTCCGTGGGAATGGCGTTGGAGAGCTTAAGGAGTGGGACAGAGTTTATGACTATGCTTACTACAATGATCTTGGAATGCCAGACTCGGGAAAGAAGTATGTACGTACCGTTCTTGGTGGCTCGAGCGGGTTTCCTTATCCGCGACGAGGACGAACCGGTCGAAAACCTGCAAAAACAGGTTCAGATTATGAACTTTCAATCAATTCTATCATGTGGGTTGCTAGTAAACTTGTAACTTATCATTGACTTGGTTGTGTTTTACAGATCCATGCTGTGAATGTAGGTTGCCTCTGTTGAGTTTAGATGTTTACGTGCCGAGAGACGAGCAGTTTCGGAACCTGAAATTCTCGGATTTTCTAGCTTATGGTTTGAAGTCCATTGTTCAGGCATTGCTCCCAGAGATCAAATCTTTATGTGACAAAAATGTTAATGAGTTTGATTCCTTCCAAGATGTTATGGATCTTTATGAAGGAGGAATGACTCTACCAAATGAAATACTAGGCAGCGTGAGGGAGCTGGTACCTTGGCAGCTGTTTAGGGAGCTGATGCGTTCCGATGGCCGCCAATTTCTGAAGTTTCCCGTGCCTGATGTGATCAAAGGTATGCAAATATGATCTACGCTCTCACTCAGATCGAACTCTACGATGTCGAGTTTTCGAAATGCTCTAATAGAATGTTAAATTATACTAATTCCAGAGAGCAAAACAGCTTGGAGGACAGACGAGGAGTTCGGTCGAGAAATGCTTGCTGGAGTTAACCCGGTTGTCATTCGTCGACTCGAAGTACGACACGCTTAATATCCATAACATTGTTTACTAGATCCCCTGAGGCTCATTTCATTCGTAATTCACTTTAAAATGTTGCTCTCTAGGAGTTCCCTCCAGTCAGCAAGTTGGATTCTAAAACATATGGGAAGCAGAATAGTTCCATTACAGAAGAACACATAGCAGAGCACTTGAATGGGCTCACTGTTCATCAGGTATTGCACATACTTCATTCATCTCCTTAAACTGCATATCTTGATCTTATGTTTCTTGATGATCAGGCTTTGGATATGAACAAGCTTTTCATTCTGGATCATCATGATTCACTGATGCCATACATCAGTAGAATAAACTCGACATCCACAAAGACATACGCTACCCGAACACTCCTCCTTCTGCAGGACAATGGCATCTTGAAGCCATTAGCTATTGAACTAAGCCTGCCACACCCACAAGGTGATCATCATGGAGCTGTGAGCAAAGTTTTCACTCCTGCAGAAAGCGGTGTCGAGGGATCGGTTTGGCAGTTGGCTAAAGCTTATGTCGCCGTGAACGATTCTGGTTATCACCAGTTGATCAGCCATTGGTATTGTAACATAAAATCCTAGAACAATCAAAACAACATACAGGATTCATTATCTTCCTTGACTAATTTACTGCATTTACAGGCTGAACACTCATGCCGTGATAGAGCCATTCATCATTGCAACAAACAGACAACTAAGTGTTATGCACCCAATCTACAAGCTTCTTCACCCACATTTCAGGGACACAATGAACATTAACGCCATGGCTAGACAAATTCTCATAAATGCTGGTGGAATTTTCGAAACCACTGTATTCCCAGGAAAATATGCCATGGAAATGTCAGCAGTTCTTTATAAAAACTGGGTTTTCACAGATCATGCACTCCCAACAGATCTAATCAAGAGGTGGTTGTGTTCATTTCAGCCAAAATCAATTTCCTAATCCTAAATTTCATAAACATGACTAGAAAATTAAATTCTCATACCCCATTTGCAGAGGAGTGGCGATTCCCGATCCAAGTAGCCCCCATGGCCTCAAGCTTCTGATAGAGGATTATCCTTATGCCGTCGATGGGCTCGAGATCTGGTCTGCAATTGAGAAATGGGTTATAGAATATTGTTCTTTATACTACGAATCAGATGAAATGGTTGAAGAAGATACAGAAGTTCAATCATGGTGGACAGAGCTTCGCAATGTCGGGCATGGGGATTTGAAAGACGAACCATGGTGGCCGAAAATGGACACAAGAGAAGACCTAATCAAATCATGCACCATCATAATTTGGATCGCATCAGCCCTACACGCCGCTGTGAACTTCGGGCAATACCCCTACGCCGGGTACCTCCCGAACCGGCCAACAGTAAGCCGACGGTTCATGCCGGAACCAGGAACGCCGGAGTTCAAAGAGCTGGAGACGGACCCGGATTTAGCTTACTTGAAGACGATAACAGCGCAGCTACAAACACTCCTCGGCGTGTCGCTGATTGAGAGTTTATCTCGACATTCGGTGGACGAGATTTATCTAGGGCAGAGAGATACGCCGGATTGGACATCCGATGAAGAAGCAGCGGCGGCGTTTGAGAGATTTGGGGATCGGCTGCGGGAGATTGAAGAGAAGATTATGATGATGAACAAGGATGAAAAATGGAGGAATCGAGTTGGGCCGGTGAATTTGCCGTACACATTTCTGTTCCCAAATACCTCGAATTTCTACGAGGAAGAAGGCCTCAATGCTAGAGGGATACCAAATAGCGTTTCCATCTGAAACATCTTCCTTCTTTAAATTAATTAAATATTAAAAATAAAATAAAATATACTCTAAATTAAATTATAAAAAAATATTCGAATTTCTTTCCTTTTAAATATTTAATAAATTTCTAGGAAAAAATTAAATATTTTTAAAAACTTATTAGATAATATTGAAATTTAAAAGGGTACAACATTTTTTTTAGTTAGGAATTAATTATGGATTTTTTTATTATTATTATAGATGTCCTGAACCACCTAGGGGAAACGTTCCCGGTTTTCGTTCCCATTTCTTATTTCAATCTTCGAACATTTTCAGTTCTTTTCAATGGGATTGGAGTGTCCCCGTCTCTTATTTCAATATTTATCCTCACGAAATTCTCCATTTATTTTTAATGGGATTGAAGCGTTCTTGTCTCTTATTTTAATCTTTATCCTCACGAAATTCTCCTTTTATTTTTAATGGAATTTGAGCTGAATTATCGATAGAAATTTGTCCGATAAAGTTTCCAACATACAATTTTTTCCCAATTTTTTTGTATATGTTTTTTTTCCTTCATTTATCAATATAATTTCCATTAAAAATGTAAGATATATATAATATATATATATAGGACGAGGAATATAATCATGTCCCCTAATCTATTTAGTTAACGGGGAGAAAGCTCTGCACGTTCCTTTTCTTATACCCGATTTAAAAAATATATATTATTTAGAGTAAATCTGACGTCTTTATTTTTTACACCATCTTAATATTACTTGAAATAACTAAAACAATAACACATTTTTAAGAAAAGTACATTTTCATTTATTTATTAATACACCTAACTATTACAACGAGGAACAGTTTTATGGCGCTTGATAGCTTACAAGACTATCGAGATGCACTTAATTAGAAAGGGCCACCTATGTACAAAACGGGGTCCCACCTAACACCATTATTGCGTAATATCATTTACATAATCTAAGCACCGACAGTTGTTGACATGAGAACCAAATCAACTTCGCTCCGACTCCGATTGATCATTTCATTGCCACTGTTTGATTCTATAGCTACCCGTATCTCTGGAACTACTTGTGCCAAATTATGCACCGTCTCCATCGCATAATCCGCTTCCTTACTCTTCGATGATTTTCCCACCTTCATTTAACAAAAAAAAAAAAAATTAAAATTAAAATTAACTTATATTGTAATAAATTTATTACAAGGGTAATTTTGTAATTTAAATTTGATTTTTATTTCTTTTAATAGTGGATATTGATGACGTGGCTCCACTATCTGAGTGACATCGAACATGGATAAGATGACGATTCCACGTTCCCACCCATTTGGCGGAGTACTTTTTGGACAAATTAGAAGACGCCACGTGTAATAAGATTTTTTTCCCCAATAATTAGAGTAAATTCATTCTCCACTACACACTAATAAAGTAAGAGAAGCTTTTGGGCAACTTCTTGATCACTTATAATATTATCATAGTAATAATTATTTAATTTTAAAATAATAATTTTTATTTATTCGACCCGTCTTTACATATGAGCTTGAAATTATATAAAAGTAGTTTGAACGCTCGCATACCTGAAAAACTCCCACATTTTTTTGAAAGTTGAATCGACCCAACTAACGATTTTAGACAAAGGATCCACTTTTAAAACGTGGAGAGGATTAAATGTAATTAATTTTAAAAATAAATATTTGGGAAGAAAAAAAAATGTGGTAAAATGGGTATTTATTGAAAATAATTTTGGTAGGTACAAAAATAGGAAATTAACACGTTTTAAAATAGGCGAAGGGGGGAAATTTCTTACCAGAACGGTACGGAGGCCGATGGCTTTTCCGGCGGCGATGTTGCGGACGCTGTCGTCGAGGAACAGCTGCGAACAACGAACAAAACTAATCAATAAACGGTTGAGTTTAAAGGAAATTTCGTTTTACGACGGCGGGCGTACCGTACGACGGGGGTCAATGTCGGCGGCGTCTAGAGCGATTCTCATGGCGTCCATCGACGGCTTGAGAACGACCGGAAACTCGTTCGGCCGAGTCGCCGTCGGAAGATTTGGATTCATCGTCTCGAAACATATGATCTTCTCGAAACAACCCTCTAAGCCCAATCGACCGAGCACTTCGGTCGCATGCTTCATGTCGGAATTCGTGAATATCTATGGATCAAACAGAGATTTATCAATTTTAAATTATAAAAGTTTCATCAGAAAAGTCAAACTTACGATTTTTCTTTGCGGAATGGTCAGTAAGAGACGCCGGAGCTGAAAGTCCTGTTTGATCCGGTCGTACGGCAGCCTCCCGTGCACGAAACTGAAACCCAAAACACCAAACCAGACATTAAATTTAACGATCATTGTTTGTCTTAATCGAAACAAGTGGGTTTTTGTTTTTTATTCTCTTACTCATGGTAATCATCGGCATGAATGTCATAGCCCAATGCCTGCACATAATCAAATCACCCAAAAGAATTAGCGTATAGTTTAGAACAGAGTATGTTTTTTTTTAATTTGTTAATGATCGGGAAATTACTCGCAAACCAGCCAGAGTGCTGCCGTATGTTTTAAAAAGCTCTGTCCGGAGAATCGGAGCTTGGGTTTTCGGGAATCCAAATTTCTCGATGAGAAAATCTGTCACAATCAACGCCGCCAGTCAAAATCTTAATCGTTATTTGGAGAAAATCAGTGTTAAACCTTAAAACCCAACAAGAACATGAAAAAACAAAACATTTTTCAGAAACCTTCGATGTTTTTCTTGCAAGCAGCTGCAATTCCAGTGCTGAAAGGGTACAGTGTGTCATCCAAATCTGTACGAAAAAAGAGAGGAAGAATCTTAAATCTTAAATCCTAAAATCTTGGAGGACAAGAAGAAGAAGAAGAACAACAACAACAAGCTACCGAAAAGGAGGCAATCCAAAGAAGAAGCCATGGCTGAAAATGGAGGCGAAACAGAGCAAAACAGAGCAAAACAGAGAGTTCAGAAGAAGCAAGAGAGAAGCAGAGGGAGCGAAGAGGGGAGGGAATACGAGTGGAATATATAGGGAAAGGTGCGAGGTACACGCGCTCGGATAACGACGCGCGTGAACATGCTGAGTCAGCCTCCTCATTTTTATTATAATTTAAAAAAATCAAGGTTTAAAATATAATAACAACCGGGCTTATTTATTTACATTATAAATAAAAATAAATCAGTACGGAGCTAAGGCATATGGTGTGGGTTTAGGTTAGGGTTAGGATTGGGGTTAGATTATTTACTGTTGGAGGGTGGGTTGGTTTTAATTTATCCGGATTGGTGTGCCGAGTTGGAATGGGACCCAGCCACGCGGTTTGATGTTGACCACTGCCTGGACGAGACGAACCTACGCCGTTCCGAACCACGTGTCCAACTCGGAGTTTCGTACCCAACTCAACCACCCACGTGGAATCAAAATTCATCCAATTTTTTAAAAATAATAATAATTATATTTTTTTTTAGATGTGAAATCACTCCTAGAAGAGTAAGATTCAGATTAATTTGTACACGAACATGGTTTGAAATTCAAATTACTTCTCAAGCACGAGCACACAAGCACGAGCACACAGACTTGTTTTACTATATTTTCCGAGTCTCTTACAAATACAGCATACATGGCTTTATATAGCCTCAGAAACTATTAAAGATATTCCAAAAGTTGTATCATTCATACTTAACGGTCAACCCTAGAGTAAATAAAAAATCTTAAAATATATTATTGAAATACAATAACTCTAAATTGTAATTCACCCAAAATTTATAACATAAAATTTCATTATTCTGGCATGAATTGAAATATCTTTCGATAATTTAAACAATATTTTTTTCACATATTCATTGAATCATATTGTCTCTTGGTTCATATCATATCTCTCAAATAATTGATAAATTAATCAATTGCATATTTAGATATAAATTTCACATTTTTTATTACCGGATGAAATTAAGAAATAATCCCTCACGTGACACATTTATGTCATTTATTACAGTAAAGCGTTTATAATTTTTATTTACATCGTATTTATCATACAATATTATATAAAGTGATGATGAAAGAATGAAAAAAATAAACGAATAAAAACAAAATTTTATAAGATATTTACAGATAATGTGAAATTAACTTTATAATATATATTACATAAAAACTAACCTTATTGTATATATTATTTGGGAGTGACGTATTCCTAAATAATTGCAATTATTAAAGAAAAAATATTATTAATTAATTAATTGGATTAGATAATTAAGCAACAAAATTGAGTGTTCCATAATTAATTCTGGATGGGACGTGGATTGTGACTTTGTGTGTTACGTAACCCATTATTAACCTTACTTCTTATCTTTTTAAATTATATAAAATGTTTAAAAGTAACCAATAATTTCAAATATATATAAAATATTATTATTTCATTACAAATTTAATACATTTATAAACTACTTATAAATTTTTTTATTCAGAATTTAATCCAATTTTAAATTTGTGCCTAATAAATTAACCAATCGGTTAAAAATTAAAATTTTTAGGGTTCAAATAGATATAAATATAATTTCACACGATAAATAAAAAATTAATTTAGTCTTTAATTTTAATGTTATGATTATGAAGTGTTAAACTTTAAGAATGTGAATTAAATTCTTGATTTTTTAAATTTGAAATTGTGTCTAATAAACACGTGAATATATATATATATCCAGTGTTATCGATTTGTTGGATAAAAAAATAATAATGAGAATGTTTGCTTAATCCACTGCACCTAAATGATGTGAAAGTTATCTATTTATAATCAAACAAATTACAATAATATGGAAAGGGTCAGAAGACAAATATCTACATATTTGCTTTATAATAAAATATTAAATATGATATATATGATAAACTATAGTTTAGTACTAAATATCTTTAACAAATAACTTGATGGGTTGAGTCAAGAAGTTTTCCTATCGGCTTTCTGTTTCAATTCCTAACCGTGCAAAGAATAATAATAATAATAAAAAAAAAATCTAATTTTTCTAGAAACCGAGGCAAGGACAGAGATGAGGACACCCTATTTAGCTAAGAAATAGAGGTAGAGGCCGGGGCCACCAGAGCATGTCTGTATCGTCTATTGAAAGAGGGAAATAAAGCTCTCTTTACTCTCTTACTCGATATTTTGCCCCGATTCAAGTGGGCCCCACGGGATTACAACTCCACGTGCTAGATAGACATTTCTAGAGAAAAAGTCAAAAATTATTTAAAGTTACTCGATAAATACAAAATTAAATTTATCAAAAAATGTTTGATGGAGGGAGTAAAGTATTTTAGTAATTAAATGCAAAGTTAAGGTATAAAATTGTATTTTTAGCATGGGTGATGGATGTAGGCACCAACTCTTATAATTTTAAATTATATATTTTGATAAGTGGACTTTATACTTTATTTTTAACGTAAGTCTCAATTTTTGTTTTATGTGCATTTTTTTAATCATAATATTGGGATTATTACTTGGACGGTGATAAAGACTTAATTGTTAATTTAACTTTTTTTTTTTTTTTTTGATATTTCATTTTAATCTAATTAAATGTCGTGTGATTTATTTTTTCAAAAAACCTATTTATTCGTTAATTTTATTAAATATTTGACAACGAACTTTATTATATTAAAAAATGACACCTTAAATTATAATTGGATATAAAATTACAGAATTAAATAAAGTATTTAAAAAATCGGGAGACAAAGAGCAGTTGGATAGGCAGATCAGCAACAGCATTTCAACATTATCCACACAATTGTTTAAATTATATATATATATATATATATTTCTTTTACTTTAAAATTTCCAATAAATATTAGAAGAATATCTTAAGAAAAGTCTTTTCCAAAATTAAAATTATCAGTTAAATCAATGATAGTCTTAAAAAAAAAATTATGTATTTAAAAAAAACAATTATGTATTTAATTTTTTTAATAAGGTCAGAGATTAAACCATTGACATTTGAGATGTTTCGTGTTTTGTATTTATTGATAAATAGATGACAAATATGTAAATGGCGAGAATTCAATATAATAGCGGTGAATATCTGTGATCAGATTTTAAAATATTGTTTTTAGTGGAATTTTTTTAATATATTTAATGATCAACTAAATGAATACTGGGATATAAATGAAAATGAAAATTTAATAGATATTAATATAAAATTTTAGAATTTAAATAATTATCGTTATTAGTTGAGAATCTATAATTCGATATTTATAATTTTTTTCTTCAAATTTTTATTAATTCTACGAGTGGCTGTAGTTTAGTGGTCAGAATTCCACGTTGTGGCCGTGGAGACCTGGGCTCGAATCCCAGCAGCCACATAATAATTAGTTTTTTGAGTTTTGCTTCTTACCCAGTTTATTGGGCTCTATTTGGGCCGGATGACAATCGATGACATGGCCCGTTATCGAAGCTAGTAAAAATGATTATAATCCAAAATAATTCAAAATTTTGGAGTTTAGTTTAATATAGGTTTGAATTTTAATTATTATAATCCAAAATTGTTTTTTAATTATTAATAATAAAATTACAGTATATAAGTGGCTGTAGTTTAGTGGTGAGAATTCCACGTTGTGGCCGTGGAGACCTGGGCTCGAATCCCAGCAGCCACACGCACATATATATATTTTATAAATTTTAATTATTACAAACTAAATTTAAAATATTTTTTTTGGCGCATATATAATTGAAATTAAAAGTACAAATTCATTCCTTTATTCTTTACAAGGCTCTAAAAGAACCATAAATTTATTTATTTTTTAAATAGAGCTTCATATGTTAATTCAATTATCTATAAAATAACACAATTTTGAATTTTATTATTTAAGCAAAGGATTTCTATCAAAGTAATTAGCTGGTCGGAGCTCGAAACCGCCATGGAGAGCCGTCATCGCCGGAAACTCCTCTTGGCAAGGGCTGTGATGGAACCCCACCGTGTACCACACAACAATATCTCTATTCTCGATTCTCCTATTTCTGCAAAATTACGGATAATTTTTTAATAAAAAATTAAGGATATTAATGTTTTGTAAGAATATTTTTTAAGTTTTTAAAAAAAATCAATTATTAAAAATATATTTTAATTATTTGAAATTTATTTACCTTTTGGCCCAAACAGCTAAGCCATCATCACCACGGCTCCGATCGGCGTAAAACCCGACCGGCCATCTCTCCGACTTGTTATAAGGAGTCACCCATAACGGGTACTTGGTGTAAGCCGCTCTGATTTGAGGGTAGTCATCGTCGGCCAGTAAGGAATTAACCGGTTGTCCGGTGATGAGCCGGTAGCCAACCGGATTCCCAATCTTCGTCTTCTTATTGGGGTTTACAAACAAGAGCTCGGCTGGGACGGAGCTCAGCTGAAGCTTGGCTTCAGCTTCGGTTTTGATGGTCTCTCTGTTAATTTTCCAGTAACTTTTCCGGGGTGACGTGGCGTTGACCTTCGTTGTCGGCGTTTGCGTAGTCAACTTGGCTTTGACGAAGGAATTGTCGGTGCCGTCAACGTCGAGGTCAAGGTAGTAGGTTAGGAAGTGGTCGTGGTTGACGGCCACCGTGTTGGCGGCGATCAGAGTTCCGTATGTTTCTTCCGTTATATCTACCTTGTTTCTGTACGGTGTGGCCTTCACCTCCAAAAGCCCCGTTAAAGCTATCTGCCAACCCACATCAATTTAATAAAAAAAAATATAATTCCACTTTCTCCTTTGTATTAAAAAAATAAAAAATATTATTCCACTCTGTCGGAGGGTATTAATAAAACTTTTTAAATTTTAAGGGGTGCATAATCCAACCTCCGACATAAGGGTCACGCACAACACTAACACATTTATGTCGTCCGATACTGTCATTAAAAATTCATTTAAAAGAAAGTCACTCGAGACAGCTCGAGACATTTGTCTCGAAACACTCGTCATCAGTGTGACACATGTAATTCGATACTATGCTTAAAAATATATATTTAAAAGGAAGTCGCCCGAGATAGGCCGATACACTCATCACGAAACACTCGCCCTATTATATAACACAGATGTGTCACAAAATAGCTCGTTTAAGCCACATGATTTAGGGGTGGTAGGGAGATAACAATATGTCTTGTTTGACACATTTAAAATAAAATATTAAAATAAATAATAATGATTTAAGGGGAAGAAAGGGAATACCCCAATTTTAATAGAGCCACTCCTTTTGAATTCCCAGTCAAGAACATAGTCATAGTTTCCAACATTTGCCACCATTCGAACCACCAAGCTCCTCTCCGCCTCCCCTCGTCTAATCTGCAAAACAATAATTAATTTTAAAAAAAAAAACAAAATTTACAAGAATTTTGTGAAGAATCATCGGAATTCTCCTCACCACTTTTCCAGGAATATTGATCTCTGTATGTCTCCATAAAACGTCCCCTGATTGGCGTTCGAAGATACAGATTGCTCTGGTTACCTTCTGTGCTCTACCGTCGGCGCCGGCCATGTACCCGTCGAGATACTCGGCGGATTCCGGGCAGTCAATCAGTGGCTGCAAAGTGTCCGCCGACCGCCCAAATCCAAACTCTCCGATATCCATGAAGGTTCTGAAGTACCATTCATTTGTTGGATCCATATACGGCACAAACGTCTCTGAAATATGTCCTCTGTAAAGCACTCGTCGGAATTTCTTCTTCTCGTCGTCGAAAATGGAGGCTGTCGAGATGATAACGCCGGCTCTGGCGTTGAACCCCACGTGGAAGACCCAATTTTCCCATTTTACTCGATGGCCTTCGACGGTGAAATGGGATTTTGTCGCGTTGAGATTGGTGGATTTGTGCTCTGTTTTCTTTGATTGGTAATCGGTGCCTTCTGATTCCAGTAAAGGGGCGGTGAATCTGTCGGAATAGTCGATGATTTTCATCGAATCGACGTCGATTAGTGTAATTATGCCTTCAATTGGCCGGGAGAAGACATTGCTGGTTCCTTCTCTGTAAAAGCACGCAGCTTTTAGAACCCTTTTGGTCGTTTTCTCGCCATACCAGCCGACTGTAAATGGGATGCAAGAAACATGAGACAAATTCAAGCCTCTTCTTTGAATGGAAGCTTTGAATTTTGGGTAATTGAGAGGTAATTTACTAGCTTGGAAGAGCTCGAGAAAAGTGAAAGGAGGATATCCATGGCCGTTATAGACATGGTCAGATTTGATCGACCGTGTGGCAAGGTCTACAACTAGCTCGTGGGTGGAATCCGCCGCACGAACCACAACCTTGGCTTGACGCGGCGGGGGGTGGAGGTGGGTGTGGCTGTTTTGTTCACCGGAAGAGAGCCAGGAAAGAACATGTTTCTTCTCTGGTTCCTCCAAGTCAACGAAGTGAAATGTGAGATTTTGAAGGTTTCCCAGGTGGGATTTTTGGATAATGAGCCTTATTTGGTCGAGCTCCGCCGGGTTCAGAGGGTCGAGGGGATGGAAATGGGGTGGCGGCGCTGCCATGGAGAAATGAAGGTGAAGAACAAGAAGAAGAAACAGAGGAAGAGCCATGGAGGGAGGGAGGAGGGAAAATTCAACTTAAAAATGTGAAAAAGGACAACTTATTGTATACAATTCTGTGTTTTCTTGCATTGAGAGCAAGTGTCATTTGACTATCAGAGTCTTAAAGTAGAATCAAAGGAGGTAATTATGAGTGTTAGACGAACACGACTCTCAATAATAGTATGATATTGTCCACTTTAAACATAAACTCTCATGGTTTTGCTTTGAACTTCCCAAAAATGCCTCATACCGATGGAAAGAGTATTCATTGATTATAAACCCATGATTATTCCATAAATTAGTCGAGGTGGGACTTTCATAATTCAATTGAGTTCATCAAAGAGGGCAAATGGTGCAGTTGATTGGGCGAGGAGGGGTGGCTTTAAGAACAGGATTGCTCTCGAAGAAATTGGTTGGCCTTAGCTCAAACCCACGGCTAAGCGTTGGCATTAATGGGAAATCTTCTTGGCAAGGCACATGATGAAACCCCATGGTGTACCACATCACTATGTCCTTCTCCTCTATCTCCCTATTCCTGCGTTCATCAGCACATTCAAATATGTTCTTGCTTAGACTCTAAACTAAGGTCAATCTATATAGATCAAATTGAAACCGTGTCCAAACTAATAGGAGATAGCTTTGTGATGATGTACAATCTACGTAATCAAATTAAACTATTGTAAGATCCCACATCGATTAGAGAGGGGAACAAAGCATTTCTTATAAAGGGTGTGGATCCTCTCCCTAGAAAACATGTTTTAAAAACGTGAGACTGACGACAATGTGTAACGAGCTAAAACGGACAATATTTGCTAACAGTGGGGGTTTGGGTTATTACAAATGATATCAGAGTTAGACACCAAGACACCATATGGTGTACCAGCGAGGATTTTAGGCCCCCAAGCTAGACACCAAGACACCAAGTAGGCCAGCGAGAATGTTAGGCCCCTAAGGGACTGGGTTGCGAGATCCCACATCGATTGAAAAGAGGAATTGGGGTGGATTATGAGATCCCACATCGATTGGAGTGGGGAATTGGGGTGGATTGTGAGAGCCCACGTCAGTTGGAGAGGGGAACTGAGGTGGATTATAAGACCTCACTTCAGTTGAAGAGTGGCACTGTGGTTGATTGTGAGATCCCACCTCGGTTGGAGAGGGAAACAAGCATTGCTTATATGGGGAGCTAAGATGGATTATGAGATCTCATCTCACATTAGTTGGAGAAGGGAACAAACCTTTTTTATATGGGAACTCGAGTGGATTATGAAATCTCATATCGGAGAGAGGAATGAACATTCCTTACATAGGTGTGAAAACGTGAGGCTAACAGTGATATGTAACAGGCCAAAACAACCAATATCTGATTAAAGTGGGCTCGGGCTGTTACAATTATGGTCGAAACGACACGACCTCTATATTTAATAGAAAATTTTGTTTATTTTACCTAGAAGTTTGTGTATCCCACTAGGTACATAGCACATGTTATTTATGTTAAATTAATCATAAATGTACTGTCCAAACAGTGGCTATAAAATGATTTAACTTAACCTAATCACATGCATAAATCCTTTTATTAAGCTAACTAAAACAATTAAATTAATTTAGATTACTTTAATCAGACGGCTTACCTTAGACTCCAAGTCGCCAAGGTATCATCTCCACGGCTCTGATCTGTGTAGAGCCCAGAGGCCCATTTCTCAGAGCTATTATACGGTGTAACCCACACATCGTAATTCGTGAACGCTGCCCTAATTTGGGGGTAATCGTCAACACTCATAAGGGGACCCGCCGCCGACTTCGGAATCAGACGGTACCCGACGGGATTCCCCAATCTGGACCTCCGATTGGGATTAACAACCGCCAACTCCGCCGCTTGACTGCCGAATTTGATCCTCGCATCGGCCTCTGTTCTGGCCGTCTCGGAGACCACCGTCCAATAGCTCTTCCTAGGGGAATCGGAGCTCCGTGGTCGGACTGTGCGGAGGTTGGATTTGACGAAGGAGTTGGGGCCGCCGTCGATGTCGAGATCGAGATGGTAGATGAGGAAGTGGTCATGGCGGACGCCGATCGTATTCTCCGATATCAACGCGCCGTAGACTTCCTCCTTTATTTGGTCACTGTGAGTGTATTTTGATGCCCTTACTTCCAGCAAACCCGTTAACCCGACCTGTCAATAATAATTATTAATTTTAATTTTTTTTATTCATAATATATTAATGAAATCGATTAAAAAATACCTATAAATTTTTAAAATTTATATAAATACCTTTAAACATATAAAAAAACTATAAAATTTTGTTAAATTTTTTTTATTATCCTATATATTAATTTTAAAAACTTTCTAAAATATATAATATATATATATATATATATTTTTTTTGTTAATTTAAAATTTTAGGTGTTTTTTTAAACGGAATAATTCTCATCTTAAAAATTTTAAATGGTATTGATGAAAATTTTTAAAACCTATTTATTAATATTATATGATAACTAATTTATTTTTAAAAATTTATTAATATTATATGATAAAAAATTAATTTTATTTTTTTTATTTTTGTAAATAATCTATAATTTTTTAAAGGGGTATTAATGAAATTTTTTAAAAGTTATTTTTAATTTTAGGATATTTAAAAGTAAATTTAAAATTTTAAAAATATTTTAATTGACTTACGTTTGCAATAATGGAGCCGCTCTGCTTAAATTCCCAATCGACAATATAATCATAGTTGCCGACAGCCGCCACCATCCTCACCACCAAGCTAACTTCCGGCCTTGTCTCTCTGACCTGCAAATGAGCCCAAAACCCTAAGCCCAACGGCTCAGATTCGCCGGAATTTTGTGAACGTAAAAAGTGAACTTACAACTCTATTGGGAATGGTGCCCTCCGTGTGCCGCCACATGATATCACCGGCGTGGCGTTCAAAGATACAGAACGTGTTGGGCATCTTTACCGGCCTCCCATCTCCGGCCGCCATGTACGTGTCCATAAACACTGCGTTTTCTGGGCAGTCTCTGAGTGGCTCTAACGGCACTGCGCACTGCCCGAAGCCGTACTCGCCGGAGTCGAAGAACGTCCGGTAGGACCATTCTTGGGTTAAATCCATGTAGGGTACGAACAGCTCTGATATGAAAGCTCTGTATAGTACTTGTCGGTGCTTTTGCTTTTCCATGTCATAGATCGATGCTAGCGATATGATTGGTCCTGCTCTCTCGTCGAAGCCCAAGTGTAATTTCCAGTTTGACCAACTGCTCAGTTTTCAAACTTTCGTGTCAATAATTTAGATTCTTTTAAGGATGTGTTCTGGTTATTATTTTTTTAAACTAATTGTGAGGTCGGATTGAGGAGAACTAAACATTCCTTGCCGACGCCTTTTAAAAACGGGAAGCCCACGAGAAAAAATAGAGTGTGGATTTCTCGAGAGGGAAATCAAGGTGTGGACTATCCAAAAGGGAAAGCAAGGTGTGGAAATGTGGACTTTCTGAGAGGTCAAACAGGGTGTGGAAACCTTTTAAAATTCCAAGTGGAAGCCCGAGAGGAAAAATAGGGTATGAAAACCTTAAGGGGAAGCTCGAGAGAGAAAACAGGGTGTGGACAACTTCCCGAGAGGGAAAAGAGGGTGTGAAAACCTTTTAAAAATCTTGAAAGAAAACTCGAAAGGAAAAGCCTAGGATGTGAAAACGTTTTAAAAACGTTGAGGCGAAACATGAGAAAAAAAGCTCAAATAAGACAATATTCGATAGATATGTAATGGGACATTTACGCTAATCGTAAGCTCACCTAATGGAGTGGCCGTTGACTCTAAAGCTGGGGCCTTCCGGCTGCACCATCTTTATTCCATTCAAAGGAGGCAAAAATGGCGGCTTGAGCATCGATTCTCTGTAATCGGTTCCATCGGCCTTCGGAATCGGAGCCTCATATCTATCTCGAAACCCAATAATCTTCATCTGATCGAGATCGACGGTCACCGTTACGCCTTCCACCGGTCTCATGTACAAATTCACACTCCCATCCAAATAGTAACACTGAACCTTCACCGTCCTCTTTTGCTTTCTCTTTTCCCCAAACCATCCAACGCTAAAACACGCGCAAACCACCTCTTCCATTTTCAGCCCTCTCTTTTTCATCGCCGCCGCGAACGGTGGGTGTGACGGCGGAAGAGCGGCGGCGGCGAACTGCTCCTCGAATGTAAACGGCGCGTAGGCTGGACCGGAGTAGACCCGGTTCGAGATTATAGCTTTTTTGCCCAGGTCTATGAGGATCTCGTGTGTGGCACTGTTGCAACGGACGGTGGCGGCGGCGCGTCGGGGCGGCGGTGGGGTTTTGGGGTTTGAGTGCCATGAGAGTAGAGATTGCTTGTTGGGATCGGCGAGGGCGACGTATTGGAAGGTGACGTTGGTGGTGGAGGGGTTGGGGAGGGAGTCGGTGATGAGTGACCGGATGAGATCGAATTCGTCCGGTGAGAGTGAGTCCAGAGGGTGACGGCGGACGGCGGCGGCGGCGGCGGAGAGGAGGGAAACGAGGAGTGGGAGGAAAAAGAGAGAGAGTTTTGTGGGGTTAAACTTTGCCATTTTTTTTTGGGATTTTCTTTTTTGAAAATTCAAATATAATAACAATGTTTTCTGCCTCGTCCAATTACATAATCACACGTGTCAATTATTCTTTTTTTAATTTTTTTGTTATATTTTTATATATATATATATTTTTTTTTTCATCTATAAAATAATATAATATTTTAAAATTAGCGAAGCTTAGCCCACTTTATTTAATTAAATTGAAAAATTAAATTTAACTAAATTAAATTATTAGAGAAATTTAAGAGAGAAAAAGGAGGAGAGAGAAAAAAAGTGGATGGAGAGAGAGAGAAGAAACGAGGTTTTTTGGTCAGAACAACTCAATCAACTCAAAAGTGTTACATCGAACTCAACCTATGGTCGTAGTTTCAAACATGGTATAAGAGTAGGTATGCCCTCAATCAGTAGGGCACTCAATGTAGAGGGTTGAGGATCCTAATAGGATACAAGAGTAGCGC